AATTTTACAACTAACAGAAGAAAAAGAAACAATCACCCTAAAAGAAGACAAGAAGGTCAAGCATAGTGGCTTATGCCTTTATTCTGGCATTCAGGAGACAGAAGCATGCTATCTCTTTGAGTTCAAGGCCAGCCTGGTCTAAAAATTGAGAGTTCCAGGTCAGCCAGGGCCACACAGTGAGACCCCCCCCCAACAAAACAAAACAAAGGAAGAGGAGAGCCCATGGAAAGCTCGTGAATGAAAATACAAAGGAAAGGAAGGTATTAGAAATACAACAGTGGCAGAAGTCAATCATTCTCAGCATCCTTTTTAAAAGACTGAAAAGTAAAATTTGAACATGTTATGAGCAGTACTAGCATGATTGGATACATGTGTGTGCACACACATGTGCTCATGTACAAAGATACCTGTTACTTTATTACTCTTGGTGACATAAGTAACCAAGTCTCATTGGTGCAAGGCTGAGTTTATGCCACTGGCAAGGTCAGAATTCTAGAAGGTGTGAAAGACAGATGTGTGATTCTGAGGCCCAGTGTCAGAATACTGAACTTTCAGGGATCACTGAGGAGACCTGAGGGGTCCACCTGTTGTCCTTGTCTTAGAGCGAGAGTGTTACAAAAAAGTCTCAGGTAAATGACAGGAAGGGAGGCTACATCAAGCACCAGATAAATAAGTCACCATTTAAATTCGTTAAGGCCAACAACATATAAAGCATGACAGTATTGAACACATAAAAATACGTGCCATGAGAAACAAAATATATTCTATGACAATCTTAAAAAAAAAAGTTTCAGAAATTAACTCATTAACTCACATGATCTGTTTTTCTTTCCTTGCCGTAACTAGTTAACTTTGGTGTTCTCGGCATGACGACATTTGATGGGAGAAGCTGTTCCACAGGTGATAAATTAATCACACTCACCTGAGGCCACGCTGTGCGTGTTGATGTGGAAGTGTTCTTGTGTTTATCTTACAAGGTTGAGCACGTTTGAATTGTGAGAGGGTTGCTATATTTACATGGTCAGCATTGACCAAACTCAACTTTATATTAAAATCACCTGGGTCCTCTGCCTAGCACAGGTGGATGACAGCTGTTGACTGTGTAGAACATGCTAGCTTCAGTTCTTTGTAACAACAGTGTTCTGTATTCACCAGACAACCATTGGGTTTGTGTTTTTTTGTAATTGTTTTATTAAATTACTTTATTATTTATTTACATTCCAAAAGTTCCCCCCTTTCCTGGTCCCCAACCCTCCCCACCCCCCGAGTTCTTCACCCCACTTCACTCCCACCTCTGAGAGGGTGCTCCTCTACCCGCCAACCCACCATTGTTAATTTAGAGGGTTCCGAGGGAGACTAAGGTTGGAGGGAAGACAGCTCAGTTAGAGAAGGTTTTTCTGCCACCTAATGGACATTTGAACATCGTGGCAGTATTTCTTTTTACACCAATTCCTAGGTCAAATACTTCATGTATCACACTTTTTAACCCTTTCAATTCTTTTGAAGACCTTTTCTTGCTTCTTAAAAACCTGACTCTAAGTGATCAAGGGTGCTCCCAGATACACAATGTAATCAGCAGACTGGCTCCTGTATCTAGCTTTTCAATATTAGGCTGCCTATTGATTATCTCCTTTGGCTCTGTGGCTTAACTATTGTCTAAGCTCAGATGACTCCGGAGTTTCTATATTCCACGTCAGGCTTTTGCTTTGGCTATATTTCACAGATCCACCTCCTAGCCTTCTTTTCTTGGATGTCTAATAGACTTCTCAATCCTGGTTAGATTGAATCAACACACACACACACACACACCCCACATACATAATTTATCCTGGTTGTCTTGCTATCTCGATATATGACAATTCTATCCCTCTAGTATTAGCCATTCTTTTTTTTTAATTTATTTTTTCTCAAATCGTAATTCATTCACACAGGGGTTATAAACACAGAAAGGCAGGATGTGGGGAAGGGAATGACACTGGAGATTAGCCATTCTTGATTCTTGAATCAAACCCCATATTAAATACATGAAGAAATTATCTTGTATATTTCCAGAACCCTAAGACTTTCTGCCATTCAACTTTCCCACCCTGGTTTTACGCCTGTGTTATTTGCAAAGGTCTCCTTAGGTTTCTTATATAGTCTAGACTTAAACAACAACAACAAAAAGCAGCCGAAATTTTCAACTCTTTGGTCCTGTCACTCCTGTATAAACCTCTCCAGTGAATCACCCAAGTCAAAACCCAAGCCCTTACAATGGCTTCTGTGATTGTAGTCTGACCTCTTGTGCTTTTGTTGTAGAAGTCTTGTTGGGGCATGACCAGGGTGTTGTCTTGAAACCACAGCAAGTGTGATCACCTGCATGTGACCCTCACATGATTGGCCTACTGAAGTTCTCCTGTGGAGGGGGTGAGGATGGTTGTTGAACCCTATGCCTGAGACTCCATCTCCACCCCTACACTCCCTGCCCACAGCTTCATGCAATCCTGCCCTGGCTGCACATCCTGGGAGATGCTAGGCCACACAGGTGGAAGGCTGACTGACCTGAGGACTCCAGCAGTACAGCCCCTTGAGGTGTCACTCATGCACAGTCAGCTTTTCAGTGATGAGTCACCACCTCTCCTGACCAGTGTGCCAAGCTGGACTCGGATGGAACTGTCCCTGGTCTATCTTTACACCCTCCATCTGTGGTGAACAGAAATGGAATTCTTAGGAAGTCATGCAAGGACTGCTGTTCCTCAGATCCTGATCCAACCTTGAACTGCACTTCCTTGATGAGTCCCTCACAGCCACAGCGGGCTGCTCTCCCTGCTCTTTTCTTTGGACTTTGTACCTTTTTGCTTTGGGTCTTTAACTTAAAACACCATATCCAAGGCTCCTGTCCCCCATCTTTCAAGGAAACTTTCCATTCTTTTCATTCAGTCTTTATTCAATGTTTCCTTGTGTTTTTTTTTTCCTCACAAACACTGTGCTCATCGCACATATTGCCTCACTTGGATATTCCTCAGCAGAACAGGTACACTGGTTACTTTTCCATTGTTGTGATCAAACACTCCAACCAAGGTGACTTTGAGTTAATTGGGCTTATGGGTCAATGCGGGGTAGGGTCTTTGGTGGTGGAGCAAAGGCATGGTGGTGTATGTCTTGAGCAGCATTTGAGAGCTTACTTTTTGACTCACAAGGAGGCAGAGAACATATTAGCAATAACATGGGTCTTCAGAAACCTCAGTGCTACACCCATTGAACCCTGCTCCCAAATATGGTCACACCTCCTAACCTTTCTCAAACTGCTCTACCAACTGGGACCAGGAATCCAAGCATATGAACCTATGGGAGTCATTCTCATTTGAACCACCACATGATACTCCCTGGACCCATGGGCTCATGGGCATATCATAATGCAAAAATGCATTTAGTTCAGCTTCAATAGGCCTATTAGTCTTTCAGTTTCAACACTGAACCAATGTTTAAAATTGCTTCTGAGATTTAAGTCTCTTAACTAACCTGCTGTAAAATCTTATAGCAAATTACATCCTTCCAATCTATAATGGTACAGAATATACATTACCATTCCAAAAGGGAGAGAACACTGGATCAAAGCAAGTCTAAAATTCAGCAGGGCAAACTCCAAATCCCATAGTTGATGTAGTCTGATGTCATAGGGCTTAGATGGCGCCGCCTGTCTATCAATACCCTTCTTTCTCATGTGCTGGTTTGCTCCGTGTCTCTCCTTCATAAATACCCCATAGCTGTGGCATCTCAGGGTCTTCAGTGTAAGCCAGGTTTCACATCACAGCTACACATAATGGCCTCTCACCCTACAACAGTGGGGCTGCCCACCACATGCTGTCTGGGCACAGCAGCTCCTCTTAACCCCAGAGGAAGGTCTACAAACCTTTTACTTGTGAATCCTCCACGACTCCAAGCCAGAACCACATGGACAGCACTGCCCAGTCCAGCAGCCCACTTGGGATGGAGGCCCCTCCTCCAGTCATTTATATCAGCTTTCACGTGTTGTTGCTTTTTAGGAGGAATTTCTTTAGGCCTTTACCTTTCCTGAGTAGGAGGCTGAGCAGGCTGGGGTCTTGCCTGAGGGGACTTGTTCTTTATTTCACTGCAGACCAGGCCTCCCATTAATCAGCTTCCTTTCTCTCAGCAGAAACCTGAGCTGGTTTTTCCCCCTCCTTAAATTGTATTATTTTGTATTTCTTTCTGCTCTTTTGGTTTTTCATAAATCTGCATTAAGAGTAAATTCTAGTAACCATGCAACAGAGTATAAATATCAGGTTACCTTGAAGAATATCTTCCACCAAAAATCTAGATAGAACATATCAATTTAGCCTCAGGCAAGTTCTTAGGACAAGGGCAGAAAGCAACCATATGCTTTGCCAAAATACCACAAGAGTGCTTTCTATCCCAATTGCTAATATTCTCCTCTAAAACTTGAGTTGGACCTCCACAGTCCACATTGCTCCAAGCACTACTGTCTTCTGAGCTCCCACTAGGATGGTTCTTCAACCTTTGCTCACAGTGTTCAACTGATTTTACAGTTCATATGCCAGAGTCTTTCACACTCTTCAAAAAAGAAAAAAAAAAAAAAACAATCACATGGCTAGATTCATAGGAGCAGTAGCCCACTCCCGAGTCCTAACTTCTTAGTTTTCTATTGCTGTGACAAAACACCACAGCCAAGGCAACTTGTAGAAAACATATGAATTAGGCTTCCAGATGTTTAGTCTATGATGTCATAGCAAATACATGGTAGAACACTGCAACAGTAGCTTAGAGTTCACATCTTGATGCAGTTTGACACCTCAAGCTTGTATCCAATGAAACAAACACCACCTCCAACAAGGCCACACTCTTTAATGCCAACATTTCACCAACTGGGGACCAAATTCACACCATAGCAGGTGATGGTTTTCTTAGTTTGTTTGCTCCATTATCCTCTGCCCAGTGATGTTCTTGTCCTGACGTATGGCTGGAACCCAGCATTCACTTAATGACTCATGCACTTAGTTAAATTTAATGAGTATGGGAAGGAACTATGTAACAGATTACAAAATACAAATTTGCAATAGTCTTATTTTCTGTTTTAAAACAATTTTAGTATTTTTCTTATCATCTATAATCATTTCAATTGATTTATGTACCAAGAAAGCACATGCTGGCTTCTAACTTGAAGGAGGAAGGCATCTTACCAATAGTCTGTTACTACTTTGTTTTCACTTATCATCATGTTTTCAAATGGACTGGGTTACGATAGCAAAGAACCAGCATTGGGTAATTTACACAGGAACTAACCAACCCTCTTCCAGCCTCCACTGTTCCCAAGTCAAGATGCTGTGTAGAGTTCTAACCTGTGCTGAGCACAACCTCTTAGAAGGAACTAGAGCTGTGTGCAGAGCAGCAGTGTCAGTGAGATGTACAACATGGATAAATCCAGTGTAAGCCAGCTATGGCCACTCCTCAGGACTATGTGTCACCTGGGATGACCTTGCACCTTTATCTTCAGTATTTACTGTGTGCCTGTGTGCGGTTACGTGCCCGTTTCTGGTCCTTTCCCAATGTTTACATCATGGTAGATAACGCATTACATTGTTTGTAATCCTGAAGGTGACCAGCCCTGGAAGCTCCTTAGGTGTTGCCCTGCTAGCCACAACTCACAGAATACTGCACTGAACTGGTACTATGAGCTGGATGAGCTAATTACAATTGTGCTTTTTCACATTAAGAGGTGGTTAAGTACCAATACAAACACAAGCATAAACTAAGTATGTAACGGACATTAACACAGGAAGCAAAGAACAGACACAAATGTCATTTAAAGTATAACTATAAGAAAGAATTTTTACTGTTGCAAATCTGCTACTAGCAGATATCTCCACACAAATCCAGTGAATATGTAAGTAAAATGGCTTTTATTTTCATAAATAAAAGGATAAATCATATAAACACTGTAGAGAAGTAGCATGTGAGCTGTCCTTGCCTGGTATGAAATACATGCAACACCAATACCCACTCTCATCTCTCCACAGCCTGCATGCCAGTGCTTTATAGTCCGTGTCTCCCCAGATTCCCAATACTACTTCAGAACCGTATGGTATGGGGTATATTAGGCGTCTGGTGTTACCTTTGCAGTCAACTGAAGACTGCTCATGCGAACATGTGAACACTGCCAATTATGGATTTAAACACCTGCATTTACTGCCCTTTACAGAAGCGCCCGACATAGTATGTGTTTTCATTTCATGAACGGCAGTTTAGTCCAGAAACTGCAGCGTGACTACCTAGGTTAATGAGTATTAGAACACAGAATAAGTCCTACAGACAGAGCGTAAACAGGCAGCAGCAAGTACTGGTTAAAGTTTTGTCAGTAACTGGCATTTAACAAGTGACTCTGTAGGAAGAGTAAAAACTTAATAAAGTATTGTTTTTCTATAGGCAGCAAAATAAAATTTAATGCCCATTCAGTAGTTACTCCAAGTATTCTGAAAGCAGCAGCTTCAAATATTAGATATTGCAAGCTGTAACTAACATTTTCAATTATTAAAAAAAAACCTCTTAGTGATTATATGTAGCTTTTCAAAGGAGTGTAAACTATGATGTATGATTTATTGACTACAATCTTGATTGACAGGTATAATCTGTTCATTCTTCATCATGAGATGTCTATTCCTGTTTCAGTACTTTATGCAGACTGATGTGTTTCTCCCAGGGTTCCTAAGGGGATGCAGTGGTCTAGGAATGTGCCTATACACTGTCTGGCACACAGTAAGTTCTCACGTACACTATTATTCCTATTACATGAAGCAATCTGTCACCTAGAAAAGGAAGTTAACACCCTAAGAGAGTAACTAAGCAGGATACACCCACATCTGTTACTCGGTAAAATATCACACAGCCACCATCCCAGTCTCTGGGTATAACCAATCCTTTAAGTGATATAATCTACTTTAAAGATCATAGTTTGTATGTCTATATTTTCTATTATAGCCTAACCTTCTGTTGCTATGGCCTTTGGCCTAAAGCCAAACAATTCTGATAGGATATTGAAGAATACCATGTTAAAAACACAATGTACACCAAAATCAGGTAACAAAAGGCATTTTCTTACAACACTTCTAACAAAGGGAATTACCAGTGTGATCCAGGACAACCTATCTTAGTTGAGTTTGTGAAGGCTTTCTTTACAACATGCAACATTTTACTTCTTCAAAACCTAGTTCCCTTCTTTTTCTCTCTACACAGAACCACTAAATGCTAGTACAAAGCTTTACCCTTTAAGTAAAAAGTTCATTAGAAAAGGTACTTGTAAAACAAAAAACCAACCACTGTGTCAGTACAGAGGGTGAAGAGAGCATAGCCCCACACTGCTGAGCCAGGGGCTGAAGGGGACAGACCCATACTGCCGATTTCCAAGTAACTTACACATTCTTGAAGACACTGATTTTCTAGTAATTATAGACTCTGGTTAAGTCTAAGGAAAGAATTTGGTCTGAGGTTTTCTGATTTTAACCACGATTCTGTTTCCCCACCAAAAGACTGAGACTCAGATATGACAAGGTGGTGATGAGAGGCGAACCCATCTCTTTTCAAAACATTCTTCTGGTATCAAACCAGAAGAATAAACATTTTTGTGAAAGTAGAAAAACATGAACATGAAACTTACTATCTAGAGTTCAAAAAAGGTCCAACCCCCACCACACAAACATATACTCATTAGAGGTGTAAAAAAACAACCCTTCCAAATGTTGTACTGATTAAAAAAGCAGAGCCCAGAAACAAAATCATGAGATGCCTCTATGTTAAAAATTCTGAATAAATAAACTAAAGGCCAAGTCGCTCTGAAGCTAACAATTATCCTATAGGCTTCAGAGAAATCAGAAGAGGTGAACTGAAGTCCCACGGTTTCTCTTATGGACCAGTGGAGATTTCTAAGTGAATGACATTCTTATGAGACAGAGCACCCAGTGTCTTTCTGAGGTTTGATATCTGGTTCTTTTACAGGTTTCACTTCCTCTTCCGGTTTGGGTTTGATCTAAAGAGAAAGAAAACAAGGTAAATATGCAGATGAAGTAGAGAAAACCCATAGAGATCTGCCCTACTTCAGACCTTCAAGGTCGCTTGCTCCATCTAAGGGCGGTGCTGAGGCTGCCATCCACCCCAGAAGCTGCATTTAAAATGCTGCCCATAGGCAACATCCCAGCAGATGGGAACATGGACTCTGGGCCCCATGACTAGCAGGTACTCCTGCTCTACAATCCTTCTAGGAAGGAACAACTCAGTAATGGGACCCTAGCGTGTGGAGATAATGTGTGACAACACATGCTGTCTTTAAAGGTACTACTTTAGAGGCCTCACAGGGAGCAAAGATGGCTGTTTTAAGGAGCAGTTGTATGAGGAAACTGCAAAACACATGCAATTCCAAGGGCTATAAATGAATGCCCACTCTTTCTGTCACAGATCCCTAGTTCTTTGGTAACTAGAGATCACACTTTCCATGTAAGCTTCCACATAGTGAGAGCACCAAGTGTACTTAGGTCTAAGCGAACTTAAAAGCATTCTGCTTTACTCCTGGATGACTAAAGCTGAAGTTAAATCCAATCTTCAAATGCTCAGCATCAGAAAGAGCACTGCTAGAGCTACATCAGCACAGGGGCCTTCCCCACACTCTTCTTAGGAAGAGCTGACAAGTAGTGAAAGCCAATACTGTTGAAAACAATGTGAGTCTATTGCACAGAAAACCAGAGGAAGCTGAAGGCGCAGGGCATCTTCTGAGAGCTATCCACAACACAGCAGATCAAGCAACATCATAAGCTCACTGAGAATGTAGAAAATACATAGACCTGCTCAGGTAGACAAAGAGACCACAATGCTAGCTCTGTCTTCCTCTTCTCTATATTCTATGACTGTAAGGAAAACCCCGTTCTCATACACTGTCGTCCTTGGGCCTCTTGGTGAGATCAAATGCAGCCAACGCTTCTGGTGTCCAGTGAGCACTCATAGGAGGAAATTCAAAAGGCACAGGCTCTACCAGCCCATAGTTTGCTTTGAGTTCCAGTTGTGGGGCTTCTGTTGGAATTTTTTGAAAGTAACTGCAAAAAGCAATTTAAATAGTGGTTTATTCGTTATTCAGCAACTACTTGAGCACCTAATATGTTCAAGGCCTACAGTGAGTATGATAGTTCTCTCCCCTGGGACACAGTCCCATGTGGACTGCTGATAAAGTCAGGAAGCCTTATCACCCACAGCACAAAGTAGCACAAGCTTCCAAGATACAAAGGGGGGCATGGGCCTGGACTTGGGGGCTCAGTCTATTGCCAAGGGAAGTGATTAAAAACTGAACTAGACAAGTAAAAGTTCAGTGTGACCTAATGCAGTGTCACAGAAAGAATACAAAGAGACAAGCAGGCAAAGGCACCGAAATACAGTTTGCACACTGATTTACTAACAGTCGTAGTCCTACTGCCTGAAAAGACCAGGAAGAATTACAAGAAAATTAAAATTTCCTGCTTTAGAGTTAACTCAAACCAAACTGAGAGAAATATGCAAAAGAAGTTGAATACACACAGACACACACAGACACACAGACACACAGACACACAGACACACACGCACACATGCACACACATGCACACGCATACCGCCCCCCCACCCTGGCTCAATTAGGGTTTGACTGCTGTGAACAGACACCATGACCAAGGCAACTCTTATAAGGACAGCATTTAACTGGGGCTGGTTTACAGGTTCAGAGGTTCAGTCCATTATCATCAAGGTGGGAGCATGGTAGCACCCAGGCAAACATGGTGCAGGAAGAACTGAGAGTTCTACATCTTTATCTGCAAGCTGCTAGTAGAAGACTGACTTCAGGCAGCTAGGATGAGGGTCTTAACACCACGCCCACAGTGACACACCTACTCCAACAAGGCCACACCTTCTAAACATGCCACTCCCTGGGCCAATCATATTCAAATCACGACATTCTCCCATCACACACATACTACACTCACACTCCACACATCCGGCACACAGAACTAAAATGGAAACAAAGTTAAAAGAAAATAAAGTCTTTATGGGAGTGTCCTGATGAAATAAACTTTATGTTTAACAATTCACATTTAAATTTTAAAACCTATTTTTATGACATCATCATATACAGAATAAAAGGCCTTACAATCAATTTTATCACCAACTTAAAAAGAAAATTAATGCTAAATTTAAATGCAATTTAAGACAAATCTTTTGGGACTAGAGATAAGAACCATTAAGTTGTTACTATTGTAACAATTATGACTAGAGTTAAGGAGTAAGCAACACTCACATGAAGCCATTTTCTCTCTGACACTTGTCCAGGGTGTTCTTCACAAGGCTTCCTAGCTTCCGAAAGAACAAGTGTCCTGACGGCTTGGCCGTTGGCCCTGGTCCTTTGGTTTCCCCGTACTCTTTGCACAGGGCTTCCGCCTCTGCGTACACTGCAGAGAGCACAACAGTTTCAAGAATACATTCTGCTTGTGACTACTAAAGAGCTTTAAGTCAGGGACATAACTCCAGCTATTTTCAATACTATAAAGCAACACAATGACAATACTGTCAGAAGGCAGCTTTTCTGCAGGCTCCAGGTAAGATTTATTTTTCTCCATCTTGCCCATTTCCCTTCAGGAATTCAGCCAGCGTCTACTCATTCCCTTTAGAATGATTTTTTTTCTTAAAAGGGAGTTAAAATTCTAATTCTAAAAGCCAAACTTACATTTTTCTGCTTCTTGGAGAGATCTGATTGCTTCTCCACATTTGTCACTTGCCAACAGAGTCTGGCCATGGTAGCAATATGCCTAGTAAGAGAAACATGTTTTCATATGTTCTGTTCTCTCACTTACATGTCAGCTAGGCACTGTCAGTCACTGCTTGGATTATTGATGTAATCCTTCATATCCTTTACCTGAGGTAAGCCCCACCCCACACCTTTGTCCAAACAAAAGGTAGAACTAGGTCCAGCCCTGCAGCAGAGTAAGTATCTAATCATGTTCTCAGAGAAAACCTGCTGGCTGAACTTCTTTTAAAAGTGAGGACAGAGGTAAATGAAGAGTAAATTCTTTGTCCTGCATATGTAAAGGGAGAGCGCAGTGTTTGTGTGTGTGTCCCCTGCAGCAGTCTGCTGAAATTTAGACTGGGTTCAGGACCCTCCAACCTCACCTTCAAATGCTAGGGTTACAGGTACGTATCACTACACCTAGCAAGGACCACAGGTTTTAAGAAAAATGCAACACATGGTGCTGGGCAGCAGTAAGTTAGGAAACATTATGACATGTAAGGGATAAAAACACTCATTTAACTCTGAAAAAGGTTTTCACTGCATCTCATATGCTAACAATCTTAGAGCAAGATTGGTGGTTTAACTAACTGGTAAGGAACTTCTAAAAGGCACAGACTGGTGGTTTTCACCTAGGTGATATATACTGTGTGGTATAACTTAAGATTAAAATAAAAAACCAACAACAAAATCAGTGTGAGTAGAGGAGGCGTGAGTGAGGCAGGGTGTCTTGTTGTTTGCTGTGAGGTATGCAAGGCTAGCTGCTGGTTTCTCTGCCCTGTAGAGCTGCTGGGATTACAGATGTGCACCAGCTTTATATGGCTTCTGGGGATCTGAACTCAGGTCTTCACACTTGCTATGTTAGTACTTTAAGAGGAGAATTTGTTGCTATCCTTCCAAATAGACAGAATGAAACAACAGTGAATTCTCATGTCTCCAGCCTTTGTTTTGGATGTAGCAACTCCAGATCTACAGCTCCCTACCATTTCCTTCCACCCACTCCTGCCAGTGAACATTTACTGAGAGCTGCCTGTCACGGGTGAGTTGCTAAGGATTAGTGGTGAGGGGAGAAGGGGCAAGAGAGAGTGACTTCACTGTCTGCAGGGCTCACTGTCTGCAGGACCCACTGTCTGCAGGGCTCACTATCTGCAGGGCTCACTGTCTTCAGGGTTACTGTGGAGGGAGTGTGTTCACTGTCTTCAGGGCTCACTGTCAGCAGGGCCCACTGTCCGCAGGGCTCACTGTCTGCAGGGCTCACTGTCCACAGGGTTGCTGGCACTTACATAAGCCGTGTAGAAGCACATCTTCAAGTGAAGGTACTTTCTCCATTTAGCAGAGTGTGCAGGCTCCAAACTGGACAAAGTATGATCTAAAGTTACATTTTAAAAAGCAAAGTATCATTTCACCCCGTTTCACTGGAGCATTGCTCAGCTCCTGTGTTCTGGTGCTAAAAGCAGACTGCTGACGAGTCTAAACTCAAGCTTTCATACATGAAAAAAACAACAACACTAAACACTAAACATGATTTCTTTACCCATAATTACATATTTGAACAACTTAAATATCTTTTCAATTTGATAGCTAATGTAGCTTTAAGTTAATGACAAAATGTGACAGAACTAAGGATTTCAAAGCAAGTATTTAATATCATAACTTTAAAACTGTATGTAAGTTAGCCAGGCACATAGCATCTATCTGCCTGCCAGAAAAAACTCATATCCATTCAACCATTACTGAACCTTGCATGAAAACTACACATTCACTCACTCAGGTGTCCACACGTGCTCAAATAATCCTTAATTTCAACTTCATTATAACTGTCAAACCTGTCTTCATTTCCCCCAAAGCCTATGACCACGTCTTCTTCAGCACTGAGCCAGCCTATTCCATCACACAGCAAGCCCATGTGTGAGCTTGGGAATTGTTTTTCAGAATTATAATCAAATCAGACTCAGTTTGTTTTGAAATGAAACTAAAAAGCCACCTTCCCCTTGCAAACCTTCACTAGTATGTCCACACTATTCAGTTCCTTACATCACTGATGTTGTATCACGACCTGACTTCTCCCCCAGACTGTGAATTTATCTTTCAACAACTAAAACAGTAACCAGCCTCCAAACATAAACCTAAGCATGTTTCCCACATCACAGGAGCCAAGTCTGGTTCCCACCTTTCACATGCTACAGTCAAGTTATAGGTGGTCAAATAACTCTGTACTGTCACTATCTAATCTAAATAACGTTAAGAACTATGAAACAGTTATTTGTTATAAAGATCTGGGCGGGTGTTGCATGCCCTTAGTCTTAGTACTTGGAAGGAAAAGGCATGTGGATTTCTGGAGGTTTTGGCCAGTTTGGTCTACTTAGTGAGTTCTAGGACAGCCAGGACTATACAGAGAGACCCAGTCTTAAAAACTAGCTACATACATACACACATAAGATAGTTACAAAGACCATAAAAACCAAAGGCTACATACGACTGGACATAAGTGGTGGAAAAGTCCATTATAAGTCATCTAACACATGAGCTGGGACGCCCTGGGGACTGAGACAGTGCTCTACTCCTAGCTGGATTTCAAGCTCCTCATATAGTAACCTATAACATATTAATTAATTCACAGGTATATGTGCACATCTGTGTCTGAGGGAAGCATGTACACTCCTGTGCCTTATATGGAGGCTATTCATCTTGTGTGTTGAGACAAGATCTCTTCACTTTTACCTAGAACTTACTGATGGACCAAGGCTGGCTAGTTAGCAAGCCACAGGGATCCCCTCGGAGCCCTTCTCCTCAGCTCAGACTTTTTTATGTCCCAGTGATCAAACTTAGGTTCTGATGCTCGTATGGCAGCACTGGGTCCCTATTTTCGAGACAAGTTGCCCAGGCTAGCCTTGATCTTACTCTGTAGCCCAGATAGGCCTTGGTACAATCCTCCTACATCAGCCTCCAGAGCAGCTGAGCCACCAGGCCTGGCCTCTTATTTTAAACAAGGCCAAAAGCCCAAAGACTTAATTCTAGTGTTGTAATGGAAAATATGAGAACCTTTTCTTCCCTTTTTTAACAAAAATCAAACAAATGTGAAAATCTAAGGCCTATGAGTGTGAAAAGCCAGGGAGTTCACCTGCTTTCTGGTAGAAGCTGGCCGTTTCGTATGCAAGTGCGGCGATCAATCCTGGAGCATGCTTCAGTTCAATTGCTCGGGCGATTGTCACTGTAACCAACACACACTAATTACATTCTCTGAGTCCACATCCTTTCATGGGAAGTTCAGTCATAATAGCAAAATTTTAGTGTAACAATTTATAAGAAAATGTAAACACAAAAAGAAGGCACTGATTTTGAGTATCTTTAAATAACTAGCCAATTATTAGCCAAGAACACAGCAGTACTATAAAATATCATGACATAAAGAAAAACACTTTCAAAGCACTTCATTTTGAAATTCAGATAAAAAGCTTGGGGAGTTATTCTACTGTTTTCTGCAACTGAAAGATGAAGACTTCAATGTAAGTTAATGAGAGGAAGAAGAAAAACAGTAAGGATAAAACAAGAGGAAAGATGACTTAAAGAATCAATGTTTGAAGCCAGAGCAATGGCTGACAGTTAAGAACACATTGTCTTCTTCCAGAGGAACCAAGTTCAGTTTCCAACATGCATTTTGGATTTGGGGTCTTCTTTTGACCTCCAAAGGCACCTGAATGCATACCATAACCCCACACATGCACATGCCTAAAGAGAAACCTTAAAAGAAAACCCAACGGTTAACATTAATGCTGTCAAAAAAAGGTATGAAATCCAAAGCCTTTAAGGAGCATTAGCAAGAAGGAACTCTCCGGTGGACAGCAAAGGAAATGTTAAAGATAATAACTCTCACAATTTTTAAAACCTAAAACCTAATACAGCTAAACCTTAGAATTAAAAACCAATATAAATATTCTTAAAACAAGCAAACAGAAAACACCTTACAGTATTTAGGATACCTTCTTGAGCCTCGGCCTGGCACTGGATGACGTAAGCATCGATGAGCCGAGCCTCTAAATCCCGCCCCTTTTCTGCTGGTGTAAGGAGTCTGGGTATATGACTTTCCTTGAAAGAAAGTACAGAAGCACTGTTGTCAAGATGAAAAAGATACAACTTTTAGATTCAAATTACTTTTAGAACTTTTCAACTTTTTAGAATTCAAATTATGGACTCACTGGGAATCTAAGTGGACAGACCAAGCTGCAGCTGTGAGCACACAGGCGAGGTGAAGGCGTGAGTATTCAAAGTGAACTTTGTAAGAAACTCAACAGCAAAATTTAGGTTATGGGTAGATTTCTTTACCAATACAATGTAATGTATTGGCATACTAACATTAACATCTTTAGGCTATCTGACACAATTAGCACGCAATGACTGGCTGGCCAGGGAGAGACCTGGAGTGCAACCTCAGGGTCAGGTCTGTGGAACTGAGACTGCTCCTGGCAACTGCAGAGAGCAGTGTGCAACAGCACACACATGAATTTGTTTTGTTTTCACCCAGGGTAAAGAGACAGAAAAGGAAGCAGAATATTACACCTTAAAATTTCTCGTTTTGAGTTAGCAGCAAGCTGCTATCACTCAGCATTTGGCTGTAGCTCAGACACGGGCACTCCATGTCTGCAGTCACCTAAGACTGCATCCATGCTGAGTCTGTACAGACATTTCCCTGGACAATTCAGAAGAACAAGTACTCACAGAGCACTGCACTGTGCTAGACCGGAGATGGTTTACAGTATACAGGATGTGCATGGCTTACATGCAGAGACCCCGTCATTTCAGAAAAGACACTTGTGTATCTGGACTTTGCTATGGAGACGTGGAAGGGGCAGTCTGTGCTTGAACCAACTCCCTGCAGTCACTGGAGGGACTGAACACAATGACACAATGGACACAATGGACTCCTGTGACACAATGGAGTTACTAATCCCTCCACACAGTTCAAGAAATAATGCCCCCGCCCGCCCCCTCCACTTTACCTTTAAATGTTTAAAGATCCCTGCTGCGATTTTGAGGCTCCGATGCACTTCTTTTGCTTCATCTTCTGTTATGCTTAAAGACAGTGGTTAACTTAGTTAGAGGATGAATCTTATTTCTGGAACTAAAAGCCAATTATTGTTATCATTATAAAAGCCAAAACGCATTATCAGAACACCAAGGCTGGCGGGATGGCTCAGTGGCTGAGAGCACTTACTGCTCTTGCAGGAGACTCGAGTTCAGTCCCCAGCACCCATGTCAGGTGGCTTACAATTGCCTTCATCTAGCTCCAGGTGACCCGATGTCTCTAACCCCCACACGGATGTGCACACACCCACACACAGACACATAATTTAAACAGATCATAAAAACAAATTAGTTATCTGTGTTTATTATTAGTTTTCTTCTTAAAAGAAAAAAAATCTAATGACATTAAAAAAAATAAAAAATCACGTGAAACATATCCCAAGACTCTGCAGATGAATAGAGACCTTGCCTAGAAATAAATGCTAAATGATTTTATTTTCTTTCCAGATTGTTCTGTCATAAACAAACACAAACTATTATGAACTTAACACACATGGTAGCTATAGACACTGGTCTGGTCATTTGTATCATTTTATATCAGCAAATATTCATTTTTAAATGGCTGCCTATTTTATGGATGGATGAATCATAACTAATTTGCCAGTTTGCTAATTCTGTATCCATGTTAGTTCCTACAACAGTTGTCTCATTTAATTTTACAATTCTTAAGAAGATACTGTTATCTCCTCCATGTGCATGATGAGCTTCCAGGAAAGCCTGTGGGCTCAGTTCTCCCCTTGCGTCTTTCTGTGGGTTCTTTGTCACAATGGGGTTTGTATTGTCAGATGGCGAGCACCTTTGCTATGGAGCCTCCTCACTGACTCTAGTGTCCAGTTCTTCAGTCCTCTGCACATCTTTTTACATGCGTCCAAGCCTCCATACCTCTTCTTTATGAGTTGCCTTTCCCATTTGTTACTTTCAGCTGACTTGCTGGATTAGAGAGGACACATTTACAACTGACAATTTAAAATGAACTGCAGTCCTGTTAACTAATTCTGTTATTGTTTTAATCCTCGTTTATTGCTTATAGTACTTATATATTTTATTTATTTGTTTCTTTTGGTTTTTCAAGACAGGGTTTCTTTGTGTAGCCTTGGCTGTCCTTGAACTTAATCTGTAGACCAGGCTGGCCTCACACTCAGAGATCCATCTTCTTCTGCTTCCTGGGGGCTGGGATTAAAGGCATCTGGAAACATGCCTGGGTTTGTTTATAGATATTGAATATAGTTGAATATTCACATTTTAAAAATTACTTCTTAGTTTGGGGCCTTACTTAGGTCTACCATGAAATAAGATTAAGAACATTTTCGTCACAGAGTACAGAGGTGAAGAGATGGCTCGATACACAAGCTGCCAACCTGAGATGGATCTCTGAAACCCACGTAAAGGTGGGAGGAGAGAACATACTCCACAGAGATGACCTCTGACCTCCACATGCACTTAGGTATGTGTGCCCCTCTCCTACCCCATAACAGCAAATAAAAATTTACAAAACAAAGACTAAGCTGCACGCCTGAAGCACGTAAGTATCAAACAATAATTCTACTACTGACTGCAAATAGAACCTTGTAATAGATAGCCTAGACTTAAATTTGGTTTATTTAAAAATAACATAGACACATGTGACCTTTGCTTTCTAACTTACTTTTCTTTTCCAGCCAATCTTGAAGCGTATTTTGTATACCACAGTGCTACATTAAATCCCATGGAAATCAGTTCAAAAACAGCATCCTGCTGGGCACTGGAATTACAAATGAAATCATTAAGTTCTGTAAATTCTGATGACATTGCTATACAAGCTTCCTGGTGTAGCAGGTAAAGGCTCTTGCTGCCAAGTCTAATGGCCGGAGTTCAACCCCTAGGACCCTGCATGCTAGTCTTTATATTTCACATACACAATAAGACATGCAGACACGGACACATGACCACACACATACCTAATAAATAGAATGCAGTAATTAAAAAAAAATTATCAAGATAATTTAAAAAAATTAAGAAGCTGGGGGTAGTCCTTCACACCTTTAGTCCTAGTCCTCAGGAGGCAGTGGCAGGTGAATCACTGTGAGTCCGAGGCCAGACTGGTCTGCATAGTGAGTTCCAGGACAGTTAGAGCTAGCTACATAGTGAGACCCTGTCTCGAAAAACAAAAACAAACAAAAACCAAAACAACAACAAACAAACAAAAATGTGACTGGAACCCATGATACAGATAACTAACAATCTAAATATAGTTTGCTTTCTATTTGTAAAATATACACGCGCATACACACACCACGACCAACCAAACAAACAAACAAAAAAACCAACTTGGGGGAAGAAAGGCCATTACTTCATCTTATAGCTTAGAGTACAACATGAAGTCAGAACAGAAACTCAGGGCAGAAAGGTGGAGGCAGAAACTGAAGCAAGGGCCGTGGTGGAACACTGCTTACTGCTTTGCTCTCCGTGGCTTGCTTGGCTTCTTCGTTATACAACCCAAGACTACCTGCCCAGGGTGGTAACACCCAGAGTGGGCAGAACATCTTCACATGAATCATTCACCAAGAAAATGTCACACAGGCCAACCTGATGGAGGCATTCTCTCAGTCAAGTTCCCTAGTTTACATGAAGCTGACAAAAGATTAATCTGCACCAGTACGAACTATGTACTTCATGATAATAATCATGACAAAGTAGTTCCCAAAGCTATACAGAATAGCATTAGAACTATGTATTTCTGAGACTCGTCCTCAAAAAGTCAGAAAACTTAGGACGGAATCCGAAATGTGTGTGTGTGTCCCCACAGCATGCGCATGTGTGGACATCAGAGGACAACTTGCAGGAGTTGGTTCTCTCTTATTATGTGGGTCTCGGGGAGCAAGCTCCTGTCAGCAGGCTTGCACTCAACAGCCCTTACTCAATGTACCACCTCACTGGCCCCAGTTTTTCTAATTTATATGATAGTGTATGAATAACTATCTTTTCTTGTTTGCCTGTGAGTGTGTATGTGTGTGTGTTTCTGAGGCTCAAATCGTGGGCTTTACACATACTAGATGTCTACTATTAAGCTGCAACCTTGTTTTAGAACACTCAATTTCAACAGCACAATCTAAACAGTAGTATGACTATCTGTGGTGGTATCCCTCCCCTCACCCCCGACTCTTCTGTTTGAATGTGTGGTCACAGAGGTGGCGCTATTAGATGCGATCTTGTTGTTGGCGTAGGTACGGCCTTGTTGGAGGAAGTCTAAAACCACAGGGGTGGGTTTTGACAGTCCCCTTCCGCTACCTGTGGATCAAGATGTACAACTCTTAGCTCCTTCTCCAGCACCATGTCTGCCTGCACACTGTCACCACCATAACAGACTAAACCTCTGACACTGTAAGCCAGTCCCAATTAAACATTTTCCTTCAAGAGTTGCCATGGTCATGGTATCTCTTCACAGCACTAAAACCCTAAGACACCATGTACTATAAAAAGTTATTTTTCTACTGGGTGTGGTGCTTACTCCAGTACTCTGGAGCCTTAGTCAGGAGTACTGCCATGAGTTCCAGGCTAGCCTGAGCTACATCACAAATTTGAAGGCATTGACATAGAGTGAGACTGTCTTGACACAAACACATATGTAACATAATTTCTAAATATGAAGCAATCATGTATATAGTTCATATATATATAATAAAAAATTAAGTAATATAACCTTAAGTAGTATCCAATATATATATATTTAAAAAAAGACAAAGACTTGCTCTGTTGCCCAGGTTGGCTTCAAGGACATAATCCTCCTGCCTCAGGCTTCCCCAGTGCTCAGTTTATTAGCATACACCAACATACTTAGCTTAATCACATAATTCCTCACTATTCCATGAAATGCTGAAAAATGAAGAAACAAAAAACCCAACGAACCAAACACCACCACCAAAACAAAAACAAAACAACACGAAACAAAACAACCAGAAAACAAAAAAACTGAGTAACATGGACTCAATATTTGGGATGATGTGGGGAAAGCACTAAATTTACATATTTCAAACCATTTTATGGCCTCTTCAAATTCCCTGTACAGTATCTTTAATTCTGGATGAAAACAGACTGATTAACATAAAGAAAACAGAAAATGTCTTGGAGAACACTGGTACTGAACACTACTAAAATCCACATAACGTCCAAGGACAGAAAAAAGGAAAATAAGAACAGACAATGGCTTAATCCCTGGCATTACATCACTTATCAAGCCTATATTTTCTCACCACGTTCCTTAGTGTACTTCCTTCTTTGCATCAAAATATAGTCAAAGTAGATGTTCATGTTAAAACCTGCACTGCATCTAGCACGTATGGACCCAGTATCCATTCTTTCTACAGTCGCCCCACTCTCAGACGTGTGATCTCCAATCCCTTCCTTTCTATTTTTACTTTATCTCTTTATGTTTATTTATCTACGTTACTTATGTATTTGTGGATACACATGTGCCACAAGACGTGTGTGGAAGTCAAAAGGGAAACTGTGAGAGCTGGCTCTCTCCTACCTTTACGAGACTCTGGGAATCTAACTCAGTTTGCCAGGCCTGGCAGACAGCACCTTTAAACACTGAGCCATCTTGGTGGCTCCCTTTCATTTTGTATTAAACAAAGATCTACTGACACTTTAACAATCTAACTCTGTAAAAATAAAGGTTAGCAGCACAATGATCAGTTAACGATGGCTGAGTAGTGCAGAGGCCGTGAAGAGAAGTTTTACGAGTAGAAACACAGCTTGAAAGGGGAGAAAAATGAAGGAGTTTTGGATTACAAACTGGGTGCTATTAAACAAAGGTGTTTAAAGTTAATATTCATGTTATCTCAAAAATAGATGTTTGTTTGGTAGAAAGTTTTAAATTTAATAGTACATACTTTAAGTCAATGTTTTAATTAATGTCTCAGCAAGTGAAAATGTTTGTCAGTCTTCTATTTTTCTTCTTCAAATATACCAGTTAAATAGTTAAAAACAGACTTGGACTTAGGGCCTCATCAGCCCTGCTCACCTTGGAACATGTCCTTGTAATGTATCGGTCCACTTGAAATTCTGAATGTATCGTAATTTGCTTTCCTGGGTAGAGTCACCCACTGAATTTATGAAACCTATAAAAAGATGCAACATATTTTAGGGTGGAACAAATATTATGTGTTCTGGTTAAAATATTATTCACTCCTAGCATGTGTACTTGGGAGGCAGAGGCAGGGGATCTCTGTGAGTTCGAGGCCAGCCAGGGCAGAAAGACAATTTCTGGACAGCCAAGGATACACAGAGAAACTCTGTCTCAAACAGTGACCCCTCCACCCCCAAACGTATTCATGCAACTACTTCTCTAGGTGCCGGAATGACATTTCTGGTACCATTTTCCCTTTTACATTTTACACATTCTCCTGGTAATGGAATATAAAATGTGTACATATCCAATTTTCAAAATATTAGAAAGACCATGCACCACCACTACAATGTCACATTCTGAGACCCATGCATTCCAAAAATAGCCTGGGAGATTAATCTGTCTGAATCTGAAAAGTTAAGTGTCTACTTCCACATGGTTGGTTTTTTTTAAAAAGCTCAAGTTTATAGTGGTGACTAACCTTGTAAAAGAGAGAAATACAAGTCTGCTGCATTCTTCATCGTTTCTGGATTACAGCTCAAATCAGTGAACAGTTCGAGGAGCCGAGTCCTGGCGGATCTCAAATCACTTACATCAACAGACAGTAAAGTAAGTAAGTCGTGTTTCCAAGACTATGTAAAAACAGCCCAGAGGCTTCAACGTAAGAGCACTAGAACAACACCCACAGATCCACTGCTACCTTCTTGTTAAAAATAAATGAGGCTTCTAGTAAAAACTGATTCAGATGTTATACAAAAATAAACTCAGTCTAATTAGAGGGGCAATGCCAATTGTGCAATAAAGCCCAGTTGTGCAAGAAAAATATACAGCAAGTTTGAAAAGGTGACCAGGCCTGGCCACACCACCTGTCATTCCAGCGCTCAAAAGGTGCAAAGAGGAGCCTTAGCTACGGAGTCAAGCCAAGTTTCAATCACCCAGTCTACTGAAGACCTGTCTCCATGAACACAAACAGCTACGGAGTCAAGCCAAGTTTCAATCACCCAGCCTACTGAAGACCTGTCTCCATGAACACAAACAGCTACGGAGTCAAGCCAAGTTTCAATCACCCAGCCTACTGAAGACCTGTCTCCATGAACACACAGCTGAGTGCATTTAATATCCATTTTCATTACTTAGTCAATCGTTTTGGAAAAAAAAAAACAGAAATTTAATGTACTTATGTATAATTTTAATTAATAATTATTTTGAATTTTTAGATTTGGCACTATATACAGAACATCTAACATACTGTAAGAATATATATATCCAGAGGATGTAAAACCATACGACCATTAGTTTAAAATACCTTTCCTTCCTGCAATTCCTTCACCCTACGGTCAAGGTGAGCCATGGTCACGGTGAGCGCTCTAGCTTTGAGATGCTCCTCTGGGTTAACATTTCTTCTCTAGTTCTCCATTTTTCTCTCATCTACAAATTGCCAGTCTTTGGCCTTCTGTTTTTCACTTTTGAGATCTCCATTCTCACATCTTCAGTGACTTCCTCTCCTAGATCTATCTACACCATCTCTAATCTACAGCCACATATAATCCAGGAAGCAGTGAGTTCCAGAAATCTCACTAGATAGCACTGAGTTAAGGCACTTAAAACAAGTGTGAGCTGCTGAAGACTAATTTAAATTGTAAACACACAGAATGTAGAATCTATTATACTCTGAATATTTCCAAAGCCATTTGTAAATTTCCTCATTCTAAATACAAGTTAGTGTGCATGCACAAGCGCACGTGTGCTAGCACTCAGGAGCCAGGGTTGGATGTCTGGGCCTCTCACTGAATCTAGCTATTTTGGCTAAAGTTGCCGGCCAGGGAGCTCTCGGTTCTGCCTGTCTCCACCAACACCTCATCTCCCAGAGCTGCAGTTCAGAGTTACACATCTTGTCCAGTTTTTCTTTTCTTCTTCTTTTTTTTTAATGTGAATGTTAGGGATCCAAACTCAGATCTCATGACTATGCCTCAATCACATACTTTAAAGGCATACTTTCCTTAATTTGTACCATTTAGATGAATTTAACGTTCTGCACGTTGAGCTGTGGGTAATGGAACACACGCACACGCACATGCACACATGCACACACGCACACACGCAGCATATTTTGCTAACTCCCAATCTAAGTTACACAATTTATGTGAGCTTCAGTTCAAGTCCTTTACCCTATTACCACTACTTTGAAGCCTGTTTCCAACCACAGGAATTCCTCCCTACTAGGAACATAAATAATTTACTGTCTGGTGCATTAAAGGATCCTATCTTATGGACCTGTTGAAATATAGAGTTTGACTTTGATTATTATTGCTTTAGGCCTTCTGGAGTTCATTTACTGATGTAAATTAAGCATTCAGCCTAGATGACAACCAAAGCTTAAATATCCCACGACTTGATCTTCATTTGTTAATGATAAAGTATAAAATTATTGTACGTTAATGTTAGGAATGTGCAGTGCACATTTCTGTACTGACCATGGAGCTTTACAAAGTGCCTTGATTCATCACCCTGCCAACACTTCGTCAACTGCACCAACACTTACTTGCAAATCTTTGAAGCGGGAGGGCCAGTGATCATGCCATAGTAGTTAAAAGACACGGGAGCTGTAGCTTTTAACGGGTTCCTATGAAACCAATGGGTCATTTTCACAAGATGTGCTCTACAACCAGAAAAGACATAAGCGTGGAAAAGGAAACCGTAAGTAGAAAAGAACCCAGCAACAACTGGCTATTTTACAAGATACATACATTTTATGCATAAGCCATAATACATAAAACATACATCTATAAATATAATACATGACAAATAAATTTTGTCTTGACAGTCTACACTTAGATTATACCTGTATAAGAAAACTGAAAATTTTGTTCATAATAACTTCAGGGATAAGATATGGAAGAGCAATGATAGTTAGACTTTAATACTTATTAAACAAAAATCACCTAGAGGTGTGAGTTTTGTATGTGTTCTCAGGGGTCTAGGGGAAGCCTGAGATGCTGACACTTCAGGGCTTCCAGACTATACTTCTGTGAAGCAAAGTTGAGGCTTTGGTTGGATGGCTGCAAACAGTAAAGTTCAGGACCAGATGAGCCTTATATCCTTAACAGAGTCAAATGGATCCCTTCATTAACTCTAAGTCTACCTGAAATAAATAGGATTTTATAGTCATTTTATTTTCCATATATTGTTGGCACCAAAGTACCTTGGTGGAAACCTTCTGTTCTCTAATAAATGTGTTGGGTATAAAATTGCTAAGAGTATTTTATAATAAAATGTAAACTGATCAGTTTCCATTGTGAACGCAAAAACATTTTAAAACCCTCAATGAAATGTTAACTTACAAAGTTGTAGCAAAAAAGAAAAAAAAAAAAACAGCAGGTGTGTGTGTGTTTCCCTGAACCTTCCTGGGTAGGTAATGCATTTAGTACACAGGAAGGCTCCAAGCCAAAGCCTCACACACTTCATTGGATTCCAGAAGAAATTCTGATAAGGCACATGTTATTTAAAGGCATTGCACAGCTTTCCAATCAGCCTTTATTAGGGGGAAAAAGTGTGGGGTTGGATGAGTACAGTGTTCCCAAATATCTACATTATGCACCACTCTGGTTAGGCTTACTCATGGCAAAACTGGTTTGGGGAAGCACCAAATATTTAACGAATAGAGAATGGATTGTATACTCAATGAAAATCTGGGCAGATTCACTTAAGACTCAAACCGTTTAACAAACCCTTTCATAACATATCATCAAAACAGCATCTATACAAACCACCTTCAAAACTTACACAAATGGGGCACTGAGTGAGCCTACCGCACTCTAGGGAAATCTGTGAAAATACAATTTCCGCGACTGTTTCTTTTAATGACAGTACTCTGCTCCATCCCTCAAAACGCTCTGATGACCTGGCACTCCTTGAGTTTCAAGAACTCTGAGGGTGGGGGTCAAAGAACGACAGACACACCCATCCTCGGAGCCCCAATTACAACCCCGAATCAAGAATGTCACCTGCCAGATCTCCACAAGACTACCGGGCCGGCTGACAGCCCCTCCACACTTGGGAGCTTCCCGGTGCCCCCAGAGCCTACCAGTCGTCTAGACACTGCCGGCGCCCACTTCCTGTTTACCGCCCGGCCTCTTCCTCCCGGTGTCCTACCGAGTCGGCCGGCCGCGACCCCACGACCCGCCTCCAGGATCGCGATCAGGCCTTAGGGTGGCACTCCGATCCTGTCAACCTCGGAAGGACAAGCAGATGATTGCCAAGCCACTGTTCCGCATGTAATAAGCCCTGTAACTGCAGCCAAAGCCGACGCCTGGCGAGGCAATCGGCCGATCTGGCTGCTAATACCATCGGTTCTTCCACTGACTACCATCCAAGGGTGTTGGTAGTGAAGGGGATGACCCGCCCACTGAAGTTCAGGGACCAGAGGGGAGGGAGATCACAAGCTCATACGCTTCCCGACAAGCTTACCGGGGACCTCAGAGTCCGTAAGGCCACTCTTCCTGCTGAAGGAAAGGGAAGGTGGGACGGAGTCCGCCAGCGAGACAAGGAAGGCGCCGGTAGCACTGAGATAATTGGGCTAGAGCGGCCGGAAGTGGGGCCAACCGAGAGCAGGCGTCACGTGACGGGAGACCGTGACAACTGCGGAGGCGGCCGAGCGTGGCTCTGAGGGGCGGGATCCGCCGCGCTGTTGCCCCGTCGGTTCTCTCTGTCACCTTACCCTTTCTAAACTTCGTCTGCTCTTACCTCTCGAGCTTCTGTCTGGGCCCTAGAGAGGGAGGGATGTAGCCTGGGGTCCCCAAATCAAGGCCGAATACCTCTGTAGCTATGGCGGCCCCGGCGGATTGGGGCGGCCTCAACCTAACTGGGGCGTGGCTTGGGGGCGTGGCCTCGGCGGGGCGGCCGCCTTGGAGCTGCAAAGTTTGGCTGTGGCGGCAAATGGGTTTGGGCGGCTCCTCGGCGGGTGGTGGCGGTGGCCTTAGCGGTTCCTCCTGGCCCTGTTAATGTCAGGGCCAAGCCCGGGGAGGATGGCGCCCTAGAGCCTGGCCTTGCTGGGGTAGGGGCGGGAGGGGGCCGGGGCGGGGACCGGCCATGTCGGAGGTGACCCGGAGTCTGCTGCAGCGCTGGGGCGCCAGTCTTAGGAGAGGCGCCGACTTCGACTCTTGGGGCCAGCTGGTGGAGGCGATAGACGAGTATCAGATGTGAGTGACTAAACGCGGGAGCTGGCCAGTCGGGTCGCCTCTCCTTGTTTCTGCCCGGGTCTGGCATCCCCGTGTCCCGCAGCGCAGGCTTCTTGGGGTGGGGCCCCCGCAAGCACCAGGGCTGAGATTCCGCGGGCCCGGCTCTGGCTGCTTAGGGACCACCCGCCCGCCCTCCGGGGAAGCTCTCGCAGCTTTCTTCTTCTGCACAGGGCTGGGTCCATTCAACAGGTAGCTGAGGCCCTAACTGCCTCTCTCCTTTTCATCAAGCTTCTCACGGGTCCTGGGCGCTGAAGACAGTCTCCTTTCCTTCCCGTCGCCTCTCCCAGGTTGCCCCCCTCCTGGAAAAAAATCTGTCTTTGAAAATCCCTAGGGAATACTTCTAAGCTCTCCGCCCACGTTCCAGGGATGAGTGGCCTTGTTCTGCGTGTGTGTCTTCCACTCTCCCCACGTGTAGGAGAGGAAGGATGTGCTAGCGCGGGAGTAGAGGTTGCCCCTGGGAAGGGCCAGAGATCCGTCTCCTGCCAAGAGAAAGGTCCCTACTCGATACACTCTTGCTCCTTCTCCACCCCTCTTTCTGATGAGCGGTGTTTTCACAATTCCAACTCGATTTCGTTTTCGATTTCTGGGACTGTTATTTGCTAGGCTGTGAGTCCCACCCACCCTCTCGCTTGACTGCTTTGGGTGGAGTCCGTGGTGCAGGATATGAACAGAGGGGAGCAAAATGTGAATGAATAGAGCAGGCACAGAAGCCACCACTCCCTCTTTGGGTCCCTCCCCCTTTTCCTGTGTACAATGTATAGATAGCCTCAGGGTACATGTGAGGACTGGTTTCCTTCATCCACCCGAGTCTTTCTGTTGCCTCCCACTAAAGCTTTAGGGATGCTTTTACAATTAAAAAAAAGATCAAAACTAACATCTCGCTTAGTTTCTTGGACTTCCTACTAATAGTTAACTGGCCGTTAAAATGCTATTGTTTGCAAACCGTTACCATTAATTTTCGGTTTTAAAGTAAGTTATTGATGGAGGTTTCTCAAAGTGAAACCATTCTCATCTCCCTTTCTGGAAAGAATACAGGATTGGTACAAAACTCCTATCCCTACAATAGCTACTTGTCTAGTCTGTAAGACAATTTGGATATATAGATATTCTCTGCCCGTCTTAACTAATAGAGTGGTCTATAGATTAAAAACCCAGTACTCTGAGTGTTTTGCTATGTCAGACAACTACTAACATATATTTTGGATTCTCATGTGATTTTGTTTTTGCAGCTGCCCACTAGGGATAAAATTATTTTTCTTTTTATAAAATTAGAAAACTGGGGTCACAACATGATACCTTTGAAATCTGTGGGGATAGGGGAGGGTTGTCTTGGGTTTTATTTGGTTTTGGTTTTATAACTTCAGTGCCTTTTTGCTGGTATATGAGTTAATAATAAAGTGTTTTATTTGGTAAGACAATGATAAAGAAATTCTGTAAATAAACTGGACAAATGTCAAGATTCCCTCCATTGTTGGAGAATGTGCCCTTCTATACCTTGATCAGTTAGCATCTGTGCGTATTACCCTCTATAGTAAATGAAAGTGTCATAGGCTGAAATGTAAGGCCACCTCTCACTTGTGATACAGTGGGACCTAGCAGCTGTTGGTACTGGGCAACAGACCTCCCAATGGAGAGAGAAGAATACCATGTCTAATTGAAATTACAAAGGAAAATTGACTATGCAGGCTGCTTAGTGGGAATGAGAGTAACAGGCACAAGTAAATCCTTTGTTGAGTCTCCACACTGACCACTGTACTAGAGAGCTGCAGAATACCCTTCTGGTTCTTAGAAAACTACACTGACAGATTTCAGTAGAAATGTGGTGATTAGGCCAAACTTTGTAACATTCAGGCTACAAATAAATGAAGCCAAGAATTTACATCTTTCTAATTTACCAGAAATAGAAACATGTTGCTTTTTCTCATTTTGTTTTTTAAAACACATTCTTTGGAGGAAAGACAGAAGCCAAGGAGGCCAGTTGAGGATCATGATAATGTGAACAAGTAGTCACTGGCCAGATACCAAGAATGAAGGGAGAGGTCTACAATGATTAGGCCTTTTGATTGGGTGGCCATACTGTCTTCGTAGTCATACAACATATGGGGGCTAGCTTATGGGGGACATGTTAGAGGGATTGTTTATGTACTCTCAATTTAAGGATACTGTATTTTGCTTTTAAACTTATTTTATGTGTATGAGTGGTTTGGCTGGATATAGTTTTGCACATTGCATATGTGCCTGGTGCTTATATGTGGAGGTCATGTCTATCCCAGGGATTGACTCAGGTAATCAGACTTGGCAGCTTTGTCTATTGAGTCATCTCACCTGTCTGTTCACAGTAATTTTTCTTTTATTTTCAGAATATCTGCTTAGAACTGGTGGAAAGAAAACCTAGTTCTTCGCTATAGATGGTTGAGACACACTAATTTCAGTCCATAGAGATGATAAGATAAGATCCCTGTCAGTCACTTATGGGCTTAAAGTGTACTTAAGTCACTTCCTGAGAGCAGTCCTGTTGTACTTGTGGGTGCCTTTGTAGGATACCATAGATTGCTTTGCCTTTATGTGAGTTACATGCACCTGTGTGTGCAGTGGACACCCTCTATCACTCCACTTTCCTTCTGAGGGAAAATCTCTCCCTGAATATTCTCTGCTAGGCTGGAAGCTAGCATGCCTCAGTGGTGCTCCTGTCTGCCTCCTCAGTGCTGGGTTTACAGGTGTGCTAGGGATACTTGACTAATTATGTGGCTGCGGACAGACCCCCGTTGTCAGGATTGTGTGTAGCAAGTGCTCTGAACTGTGGAACCATCTCTGCAGTCCCTAGAGAAGAATATTGAACTAATTTCTTACATTACCAATTGTCAGCTCTTTCATTTGTTCATATAATTATCCAGGGCATGCAGGTTTTCTTTCAGTGCACATAATCAGGTCTCACTTTTCTTTTTAGGATTGCATTCGCACCAAATTTGGGTACATACACACACACACACACACACACATATGTGTGTGTGTATGTGTGTGTGTGTGTGTGTATGTTCTTGCCTAGGCTTTTAAAGAATTTTTGTTGTTTGTTTATTTTAGCACTTGGGAGGAAAGGCAGGTAAGTTAGAGGTTAGCATTTTCTACACAGCCAGTTCTAAGCCACCAGGGAAGGCTACTTATTGAGACCCTGTCTCAAAACCACAAAATACCACCACCAACAACTAAAAACTACTGAAACATACCTTATACACCATGAAACTGACACATTTTACACGTATAAAGTAATAATTTTTTAAGTTGAATTTACCAGGTTGTGGAGCTGTCACTGCCCTGCAGTTAGAACGTTTCCATCGCCTTCAAAAGGTTCCTTGTGCTCCTTTGCTATGTCCATGAGTCCCTCACAGCTGCTTATCTATGATCTGTCCTCATAATGTCGTCTTTTCTGGACATTTCATGTAATAATCGCCTAACTCAGCTTTGTAAGGCTTATTTAGCATAATCTTTGAGATTGATTTAGCATGTCTCATGTTTTTTGTTAGCAAACAGAATGTTATGTTGTATATGTGCACCATGGTTGGTTTGTGTGCCCATTCACTACTTAGTGGACATTCAACTTTGGATTATTATCAGCAATGCTGCCCTAGACATTCACATGCAGTCCTTTTTCAAAATTATATTTTATTTTTAATTATGGGGTGTGTGCACAAGTGTGTTCAGGTGCCTGAAGTTTGGAGAGCAGAGATTTGGATCTCCGAGAGTTGAGTTACAGGTAGCTCTGAGCTGCCTGGCATGGGTATTAGGAACCAAGCTTGGATCCTCCTCAAGAGCATATGCACTCTGAACCACTGAGCCATCTCTCTAGCCCATGTAATTCTTTATGTGAACATGCATTTTTATTCCTTTCATGGAGATAGATACCAATAAGTAGGATTGCTGGACCCTATGCTAAATATGTGACTTTTAAAAGAAACCTGCCAAATTATTGTCCAAAGTAGGGACATCATTTCATATTTCTGCCAGCAGTGGGAAGTTTTTTTCCCCACATATCTAGCATTTGTTACTGTCTGATTACAGCCCTTCTAGAGGGTGTATAGCAAACCTAACTGTGGTTTTAACTTACATTACACAAATGACTAATACTCCTGAGCATCTTTTCATGTTTATTTTTTTCTCTGTAAGTTTTTGTGTACCCTCCACATTTTTTGCCTGTGTTTTTAAACATTGAACTATCCTGCACATATAAAGTTCTAAGGGTTCCCTGAACAAGAAAAATTGCCATATTAGTTTTTCCATATATCTTGTCTCGTATAAAGTTCATGAAAGTATGAATAACACTTTGCAGGAAAGCTCTGGGAGGAAATAAATATGCAGAAGCAGCTCCTGATTGTTTTCTTGTGTCAATGGGTTTGTTATTCTGGACTTCTTATGTGAATGGAATCATAGTCTTAATGTGGCCTCTTTCTCTTAGCATGGTGTTTTTTAAGTTCATATTTTAACATGCTATTTTAATTTCAGTCTTTTGGCTAAATATTTTTTAAAAACTTTTTTATGTATGTAGGTGTTTGGTCTGTATGTATGTATGTGTACCACATGTGTGCCTGGTATCCACAGAGGTTAAGAAGAGGGTTGCTTATCCCTTAGGACTGGAGTTAACGACAGTTGTGAATTGCCAAGTAGGTGCTTGGAATTAAGCCTGGCTCCTCTGCAAGAGTAACCTGTGTTCTTAACTGCCGAGCTGTTTTTCCAGCCTTAGTGACAAACTCTTTATTGAATGGGTGTCCCACATTTTATTTAGTCACTCATTAGTCATTGAACATTTTAGTTGTTTCTACTTTTCAGTTGTGAATAATGCATGTGTGTGTAAAAATATTTCATGTGAACATATATTTTGAGTTCTTTGAGATGTATGTATACTCAGTAGTTTAAAGTTGTTAGGTCATGTAGTAAGTCTGTAGTTATTTGGCAAACCACCAAACTTTTTATATAGTTGGTACCAGTTTTTTTTTTTTTTTATCAGCTATGAATAAGGGTCCTGATTTTTTTTTCCACATCCACCAATACCTGTTATTTTTTCCTTTTGTTTTATTTTTAAAATCATGTGGATACATCTCTGGTTGGGAAAGGTTACCGGTCATTTGGTATGCCTTTTCTTATGACCAGGGATGTGGATCTCTTCATGTTCTTATTGGCCATTTCCATCTCTCAAGAAAAGTCCTTATTCGACTCATTTTCCTCAAACTGGACACTCTCTCTTTCTGTCTGTCCCCCCACCCCCTCTGTGTGTGTATGTGTGTGTCTGTGTGTCTGTGTTTTAAATGTCAGTCCTTTTTGTTATACTTACTCTTCAACAAATAGAGTAGTAACATTGATCCAACCTTGAAAACACTCAGAGGGCCTACCTGCTGTTTGCAGGCATGTGTATACTATTTGTGTGGAGGTCAGAGGGTAACTTGGGAAAGTTGGTTTATGTAGGCCTTGGGGATTGAATTTGGGTCATGAGACTTCGTGGAAGTCCTCTCCCTGGCCCATAGCTTCTGTTTTTACAGTATGATGATATTTGGGTAATCAGTAGTTTCTGTTTTTGAATGTTGGGTTTTTTTTATGTTTTTTGGGTTTTGTTTTTGTTTTTTTACAAAAACAAGTGCCTTCAACAAGTAGATTTTGATAAAGTATTTGTATTTTGTCATGGCTGTAATTTGGATTTGGACTAATCAGCAAATTGATAGAAGATTGATAAAGCATCTCTAGTCAGTACAGCTGTGGGTGCTCAGCTGTAAAGTCTATACTGAATCTGAATAAGTGCCTTCTGGCTAGTTGCAGAAGAAACCGTTCGTGCTAAGGAAAGCTGGATTCAGTGTTCTGTGAAACCCTTCTCAGGCCTAGCATTTTACTTTACTGTCTTAGCTCCAGTTCTGCCCAGTGAAATGTTGTGAAAAGTATCGTAGCATATTGTAGAGTTTCTGTCTAAGGGTGGGAGACTGACATTATTACAACAAAGCATTGTGCTTCCCTGTATTTAAAAGATTGAGCTGTATCATCTTGCTGCTGTTGAGATAGATTGCTTGCTTTCAATTCTAAACAATGTTTTCTTCTTACAGATTAGCAAGACACTTACAGAAGGAGGCCCAAGCTCAACACAATAATTCTGAATTCACAGAAGAACAAAAGGTACCATAAAGAAATCTCTCATTGCATATGATTCGCACTGATAAGGAAAGGGCTGTAATATTACTGTATATATGTTCTCAGGGCTGACTGTTTGCTATTAGATAACCAGCTGATGTGCTCTTCTGGGGCAAGACTGCCCTGCTCGCAGTATTCCTTAGTTACCTTAGTTCTTTGTGTAGGGCTGGGGCCTCATGGGCTTTCTCTTGTCCATTTGGCATGTCCATTGTTTGTGGGGGTTTTTTGTTGTTGTTGTTTTGAGACAAGGTCTCTCACTATGTAGCCCTGCTATAGTGGAACTCACTATGTAGATCATGATGGTCTTGAATTCACAGAGTTTCTCCTGCCTCTGCCTCCCAATTGCTAGGATTAAAGGCATGTACCACCATGCCTGGAAAACTCATGATTCTTACTTGAGCCTGTTCATAATTAGTTTACTGAGCATTCATTTTAGTTTTCAGTTGTCTTGTTATTATGACAGCTGATTGTAATAGCTAGTAGAAAGCTGCCAAGTGCTTCATTCCATTGAATTCCCCACTTGGTGTAGTAGGGTTTTTTTTATGTACGTTTCCACATAGAACATCCCGACTCATGATACTTAGAAAGCTTTTCCCTGTTTTCAGTCAAATTTAGTGGTAATGAGAACTCAGAACTATATGCTTGTATATATTTAGGGTCCGCTTTTCTATCTCTGTCCTTTTTCAACCTGCATCTGTTCATTCTCTCTCTCTTTCTCTCTGTCTCCCTCTCTCTCTTTCTCTTTGTCTCTCTCTCTCTCTGTCTCCCTCCCCCCTCTCCTTTTCTCTGTCTCCCCAACTAGACAGAAGATGACTAGTTATTTAAATGTAAATGTTAAAAAATTAAGTCTAGATTAGGTGAGACTATATTTTTTATATGTGTTTAATTTTTCCTTATATAAATTGAATACATCATAGCACAATTACTTTATTTTTTTATATTTTCTCATAACTGATCTTTTAAGCTATCAATTTCCCTAGGCAATGACAAAGTAAAATAGCATTTCCTTCCGTTTTCTCTACTGTACTAAGTATGAACAATTAGTTTTTGAGTGAGTGCTAATAATTTAAGTCTAAAGTTAGACTTAGCTTATCTTCAGTGCTTAGTCCTTTTTCTTTCTTTTTTTTTTTTCTTTTTTTCTTTTTTAAAACTAGTTGGGGTATGGGGGTGGGAAGGTTTTGAGGCAGGGTTTCTCTGTATAGCCCTGGCTGTCCTAGAACTCACTCTGTAGACAAGGCTGGCCTTGAACTCAGAGATCTACCTGCCTCTGCCTCCTGAGCAATGGGATTAAAGGTGTGTTCCACTTCTGCCTGGCTGCTTCATCTTTTTTTTTTTTTTTAAATTATTTATTATTAAAGGTGTGTGTGAGAGAACAGTCTTCAGGAGTCAGTTCTTTCTTTCTGCCCTCACCTCTAAGGTGGCAGGCTTGTACAGCAAACACGGTTATCCCTTCTGTTCCCTGGGCCATCTGGCTCCTCAGTGCTTAATTGTCTTACTGTATATGGAGTCTGACATCTAGACTTGAGTTACTTAATCGTGTTTCTGCATTGTTTCAGTAGGGCACAGCATTTTGACCTCGAGAGCAACTGAGGTTGGGTGACATTTCTTAAAATAGTTGTGAACAACGCCTGTTGTGCTATAGTGCAGTACATTTCTGTATAAAAAGCTCTTGGTTCTATAGGAAGAAAAGTTTGCATTTAAGAGTTTATTAGTGAACTCCCAGTTGTTAAACTACATTTTTATCTTAGGTGTTAAGTGTATTCAATTAAATAAGATTCTGTAATTAAAAAAATACCAATCAACACCAATAAAACAGTAGTCCCTGGGGAAGGAGGGAACAAGAAAAAGACATGGATGCTGTCATCTGAAAATACTTAGAGTATTAATATATCTCAGTACAAATATAATTTTTTTAAAAAAAATTAAAAGACATTTAATTTTGTGTCTGTGTGTTTTGCCTGTATGTATGTTTATGTACCACTTGCATGCCTGGTGTCCATAGAAGTCAGAAGAGGTTTACATAATCACTGCATCAATATATCTTGGTGCAAATACAATTCTTTTCAAAATCTTTAAAAATGATTTTTTGTATGGATGTTTTGCCTGTATGTATGTATGTATGTCTGTCTCCCACTTGAATACCTGGTGCCCACCGAAGTCAGAAGAGGGTGTTGGATCTCTGCACCTGAAGTTACAGGTGGTTATGAGCTACCAAGTCCTTGATGGGTCTTGAACCCACGTCCTCTGCAAGAGCAACTGCCTTCTCTCTAGCTCTTAGATGTTTTTTAAAAATGTAAGAAGTTATATCTAAATATATAACTTTACTTTTTCAAGCCTTTCCTTCTGACCCAGGGAATTAAGTATTTTTCATTGGCATTCTTTCTGGAACATTTGTATTTATTCTTAATTAACTAATTAATTAATCTATTTTTGTGACAGGTCTCTATGTAGCCCTGGCTGTCCTGAAACTCTGTGTAGACCAGGCTGGCCTTGAACTCACTAAGATCTGCCTGTCTCTGATTCTCAGAGTACTAAGATTAAAGGCATGCAACAATGCCCAACTATTTAAATTTAACTGATGCAGAACAACATTCAAATTGTACATATTAATGGGCAACCGGATGATTGATTGATCGAGTAAGGCAGGCTCTCATTGTGTATCGCTGACTGTGCTGGGACTTGCCAGATGCACCAAGCTGTGATAGCTACAGAGAAATAAAGTTTAATTTGTTTTTTTAAATTAGAAACCTCTTATTGGTTAAAAAAAGAATACCCGATTTTATTTTATATTACAGTGATTTTTTATTTTTCTCCCTACAGAAAACCATAGGCAAGATTGCAACATGTTTGGAATTGCGAAGTGCAGCATTACAGGTAAACAGGTTTTTGTTGTTGTTGTTGTTTGGTCTTTTTTTTTTTTTTTAATTTTCTAATATGATTGTTCTGTGGAAACATCAGGTGTTCATCAAAAGCTGTGTCATCTCAGAAGAGTTTTACAAGTATGGGAGAATATCAGTAGCATGTATATGTATATGAGTTAGTTCATATTTTGTAAACTATAGAAGTCAAAGATAGAACTTTAATTTTTTTCTATTATATTTAGCCTGAATATTCCAAAAATGCAAAACAAACAAAACCCAGTTTGGCACTTTTCATTTTCTACTTTGAAAGCAAGAAATAGATTTTGAATAATTTTGAATACTTGCTTTTTGCCACTTAAGAGACATAGGGTACAGTGAAATCTTTGTAGTAAAAAGATGTAATGTGTATATTTTAAATTTAGTCCACACAGTCCCAAGAAGAGTTTAAACTGGAGGACCTGAAGAAGCTGGAACCAAGTAAGTCTTTTCCTCTGGTGCTCTTGTGGGAAAGAATTCATTGTAGTTATTAACACTGTTTAGCATAGATGTGGATTTTCTCTTAATATCTAGTTATATAGCATCTTTTGAGTCCTTTTTAAGTTCCTGCAGTATTTGTAGTAGTTACAATTTGATGTAAGTATATATTGGTCTTTGTTTTGTTGTCATTTATAACACTATAGTTTCTTTGGAAAGAGTTTACAGGAGATCCTAAGGAAGAGTATAAGCTGTGGGCACTGATGCCATCCATCCTACATGGCACAGAATTGTGGCCTTCTGTGGGCCTTGCTAGAAAAGACTCCTTTGCTGAGTCTATTTTTCCCTCTTCCTTTTCAACTTTCTGAAGGAAATAATTTCTTCAAACATTTTGGTGGTTAAGATGCTGCTGAAAGGCTGCTGACACTTTGTTTCCCTTTGTCTTTTTGGCTGGTTCAGATGAATGCTCACTTTCTTGAAATGTCTGCAATATGGGCAGAGGTGAATGTGACAGTGAACCTTAAGCCATTACCACTGAGATGGGATTGCACGGCTCAACATGTGTTTGTAAACGGGGAAGAACAGTTTTCAGAGCCATCTGTTAAGGCAGATTTCTAAGTAGGGACTCTTAACATCATCGCAGCAAGAACATGATGAAATCTTGTTGTGGTCACATTCTCTCACTGTGTAGTGGAAGAATGGGATGAAGTGACTAGCCTTGTCTCTCTGCAGCCCTCAGTAGCTGGGCAGGGCCTGAATCAGGAGAGCAGAGTTTGTCTTAGTGCAATCCTTTGGGTGTTTCCACACCTTGGGGGGAAGGGTGAAAGAGTGAAGAGATGGTTCGTATCAGTTCCACAAGCCTTGGTTCCCAGCTCACAGCAAGTCTGAGAAAGGCAGGCAGATGAAAGTTACTAACTGAGTGAAATGTGGGTGGGACAGAAGGACCAGGGCAGAAAGAGGATTGCAGAGTCAGTACTAAGAGGGATCAGGTTTCTGTTGTTTTGTTTGGGTTGGTAGAGAGAAGCAACAAAGAACATAGGAACACAGATCTGCTGTGATTCTGGTGGCTTTTCCACAATTGTTAGCTGATCAAATTTCATCTCTTCAGAGCAAGATCCTTCTGCATATGGCAAGAATTATGAAGAACGATGTCATTTTAATAGTTTTGGTTACTTTATGTAATGCAGACCATAGCCTTTTTGTTATAAGAACTGTAATTTTATATTCCTAAATAGTTTTTACCTATACTCAGTATATATAGGAATGCCAATCAAATAATGTAAAAAGTTTTAATTTTTTCTGGCCACATTTTCTTATGCCTGGAGCTTTTAGGATTTCTTTAAAAAGCATTAACAAATACTTTATGTAAGTTTTTTTTATTAGTTTCATTGAGATGATATTTAGATACTATAGAAGTATAATTCCTACTTTGTATTGTCTTGACATTGCAGCCGTCACCACAGTCAGTTTCAGGATACTTTTATGACCCTCAACAGAAGCCCTGTACCTACTAGCATCGTTTGTTTCCCTACCAACCCTGACCTACACCAATTTTCAATTCTAGGCAACCACTAATTTAATTTGTCTATAGACTTGTCTATTCTGAACATTTTATACAAATGGAACCATATATGGTCTTCCATGACTGGCTATATATAAGATATTTTGGAGAAAAATATCTGTAATCATCCTTTGTAATTCTTTGATTGATCGGTTGCTTTTCTTTCTTTCTCTCCCTCTCATAGTCAGTCTCTCTCTCTCTCTCTCTCTCTCTCTCTCGTTTGTTTGTTTGTTTGTTTGTTTTTAACAGTCATCAGCTGAATGACTTGGCATTTGGAGAAATTCTCTCTCTCAGCTGCCTCTTGGTAATGACACTCTGACACTTGTCTGTGCCCTTGTGCTTGCAGATAGCAGGAGTGGGGCTGGGATGTGTTACTCCTAGTGCCATAGCTTTCTATCTAGTTCAGACTCCTGAGATGCTGTTGATTTGTACCTTAGTGGAATATTAGACTAAGAGTGGCTTGCTGTTCCTCTTGCTTGCTTTTTAATAGGCTTTTATTTGTATTTTAAAGATTTATATTAGATTTATTTTTGCTTTGTTTTGATGAGATGGCAAGGCCTTGCTGTGTAGCCCAATCTTGTCTGAAACTCAATTCTCTCCTGTGTTAGCCTCCCAAGTACAGGAATTACAGTAATTTACTACTAGCTTTGCCTTCATTGTATTATATTTTGAATTAATATGCTTTTCATTTGAACTTCTTGACCTTAAAAAAGTTATTTTTATGTCTATCTTATCTATATCTATCTTATCCTCTATCTATCTATCCATCCATCCATCCATCCATCCATCCATCCATCCATCCATCCATTTATCTATCTAACTATCTGGAAGAGTAGAAGGCTCACCATCCGGGTAGACATCAGAGGAGAAGTGCAGGATAGCATGTAGGAATTGGTTCTCTCCTTCCACTATATGGGTCCCAGGAATCAAACTCAGGTCCTTGCCTGGCAGCAAGCACATTTACCCACTGAGCTATCTTCTGGACCTGTTGATGCTTCCAGACGATTAACTTGCTGTTTTTCTGGAAGGAGCATAGTTATGTCTACTTTACTTCAGTAGGACAAACTCTAATTTTTAGTTTATCAAAGTGGAGCACCTAGGAGTTATTTCTATCAGAAAAATTTTCTGCAACTCAGTGTTTAACTATATTTTAGATGAAATAGTCTTGGTTAAGCTTTCCCTTAATTATGCTTCTTCTGTGGAAAAATAATGACAGCAGCTTTCAGTATGTTGGACTGAGGAGGTTCATTTTGCTAATGTTTTCTTTCCTTAGAAGTTTTGTTCAGTCTCTTGAAGTTCCTGTGTGAAGTTCATATTAAAACTGTGATTGTAGTAATTCTAATAACTTTTGTTTTACTTTTCAGAACATACTGCTTACTCCAACTGATTTTCCCCCACCCCAATAAAATTCCTTTCCAATAACCCATCCTTTAGAGCACCACAGAAATCCCAGTTTCCTGAAAGCTTTCTGTGCTCTCCTTACCCTCAGCTAACCTCCTCCTCCTCCTCTCTGCTTTGTACTATTTTTATATCCACGGTCAGAGTCTTCCCTGTATTACCCTTGTTTCTATTTATTCCATTCTTCAGAGTTGTTACAAACAGCCTTTTGACTTCCCCATGCACAGTCTATGCAGTGCTTTGTTTACAGTATCAACTTGTGCTATATTCAATAGCTTTGGGTGTCTTAAGAGGGAATCTTCGTACATAGCTTTAAAAAAAAAACCATTCAGAATGCAAGTAGCTTTACATTTTTGCCTACCACGAACTGATACATTGCTACAAGAACATGTGTTGAAATTGCACGTGTGTCATTTTTTACAGCAGGAGCTGCAAGGTGATGGCAGGTCCATTCCTGCAGTCAGAAGGGCTGGGAGCACTGAGTCTCAGTAGGAGAGGGCAGAGTGCTTGTGAGTGCATGAAACTGGAGGCTCATGTGCGTGGTCCTAACTCAGGAGGTGTAAAACACTTAGTGAGGCCTGTGGAGAGCAAAACTGCTCTGAGTGCAAGGCAATTGCCACCAAGCCTGAGTTCAATCCCCAGGACCCACTAGTGCAAGAAAAGAACCTATTCCCAAAAGTTGTCCTCTGACCTCCACAGTGCATGCACACCAAGTGCATAAAATGTACCAAGAAACAAATGAGCGAAGCCTGGCTTACGGAAGCCAGCCATTGGGAGTGTTCTCGATGTTGGTTGTGTATAGGACTACATGTGCTTCCAGAGACCACAACAAGCCTCCGATCCCCTGCAACTGAAGTCAAAGGTAGTTGTGAACTACCTTGAGTGAGTGCTTGGAACTGAATTGTGGTTCTCTCAAAGAATAGTACATGCTCTTAAATTCTGAGCTATCTCTCCAGCTCCAAGTTTTTCTTATCCAAAGCACTGATACCTGAAAAAAGAAGTTTACAAAATGCAAAAATATTTGCAGATGTGGTAACACATGCCTCTGTGTAATTATTCCAGTCTGCAGGCAGAGGCAGCAGGATTAGGAATTCAAGTCTAGCCTCAATTATGTAGGGAGTTCAAGGCCAGCCTGACCTACATGAAACCCTCTGGCCTAAGGGAAAATATTCTTTGTAACTAATGTAGCTTTCAACTTCTTTTATTTGTTTAAGGGTTGGCTTTTTATCATTATTATAAAATATGATTTCTGTGTCATATCTAATATGAATGACAAATGCTGTCATCCTCGCTCCCATTTTTTGTGTTCCTATGTGATACTAACTGAGTAATTGCTGATTACTGAGATAATGCTTTACTGTAATCATAAAGTTCAGAAGGGATATTGTTATGTCTTGAAAAGGCAGAACCTCTCTGTGAGGCAGGAAACGTAGGATTCTAGTCAGTGACGAGGAAAACTGGTGAGTATTGATCCCCGCAAGTGGCGCAGGTTTCTGCTTACCCCCTCCGTCTCACCGTCTGGGGAGGAAGTGGCACTCTCTCACTAGGATTGGGAAGGCACATTGCTTTAGCATAGTTACACAAGCATTCAGCAGTGGAATTGTAGGCTAAGATTTTATTTAAACCTACTTTGGTCTTCTGATAACTTTCTCTTGCTTGTAAACTTTGTATTATTTGAAGAAGCCAGACTCAAGCTGGATAGATGTCTGTTCAAGAGGGTGGGAAGACTGTTGTGAGGTCAAGGCGAGGCACTGTCACAGAGTAAATTCTAGGTTGAGATACTGAGTGAAACTGTCTCAAAAAAAAAAAAAAGCCCCCACCCCCACCCCATGCTCCAAAGCTCTGCTTCCTTCTCTGAGCCAATGTTGCTCTTGCTTCTTCTGGAATACTGGACAACTCTGACCCAGAGTGGCCATGGACAATGCTCTATCCCGAGTCACAGCTCCAGTGTCTTCTTACAACGTAGTTTTGAAGCACTGGCCCTGTGGGCTTGAGCTGCTCCATCATCTCTCTGTCCATTCTCACAACTTCCTGTGTGTCCATCCTAACAGTAACCACATTGGTACATGAGCTTCTTGACTTGTTGGCATCCATAGTCTGTTTTCCTCAAGTTTGGCCTGAGGTCCAAATGGGAGTTTTTGATGAGTGCACATCTCAATCTAAAACCTATCCACAGCCAGTATTCATGTTTGAAGACTTCCCTTGAGGATAAGCTCTACTGAGTTTAGATCTGTAATATGTTAAAATATGTAATGCAATTTTATCATAAGAAAGGCTTCAGAAGAATAACTTTTCTGCCACAGACTTTCGCAGTTTTATGCCATCGAGGGGCCAGTTTTATTCAAGACAGAATAAAACATGGTGTGATGCTCTTCTGCTGTATTCTAGCGTGCTCATATTTTTATGCTACCTGGTCTATTTGTTGACGTGTTTGTTGTCTGTTTTTCTTGGGTTTGGTTTAAGATCCATTTAGGAGTTCTTGATCACTGTATCCTAGGAGAGTCTAAACCATTGTGGGCAGTAAGTACACAGTTACTAAGAAAAGGAAGACGGGAGAAGAGTATGGGCAGGAGCTAAAGAGAGAGAAAGCAAATCAGTGAGAACTGGGCCTGCTGACTTCTTTCTCACTGGACTCAGCACACATATAAGAAGTTGGATAACGATGGACAGTCATTGGAATATGCTAGGCCATTGCCACTGATGCCCTCTGGAAGTTAAAGGCTGAGTGTGCCGAGCACTAAGACACAAGAGCCCATTTCATACTGTGGGTCCACCTACATGTAATTTGCAGCTTATTATGGGACCTATAAGGCTGGAAGTAAAACGCTGAGTTACATATTTAGAGCACTTGTGCAGATACAGCAGCATCACAGAGTATCTCCCTCTATCTTATGTGCCCAAAGGGAGCTGTGGGAGGTGAGCAACAACAGCCAGGATACAGGACCATGTTGTCTAGAGACTTCTCTTGAAGATAAACACTACTTTATCTGTATCGGTAATATATGGAGATATACAGTAAGTTTTTTCATAAAAGGAATATGATAAATATAACCATGCTAACAAACTATCAGTTTGGTGATATCGAGGAGAAAACTTAAGACAGAATAAGATATGTTCCTGTGTCTCTCTGATTGCCATCTTTAATATCAGTCCTCTAATTAAAAAAGTACAGGGAGGAGGTACCTCATGTCTCACCCAGGACATAGTAGAAAAAGGTTTGGGGGGCTAATTTTCCTCAGACCTTCTGCAAACAAATACATAGTGGCTCTGGAAAGATAGTCTGGAAATTTAAAAATATATTTAAATGTGCTCGGTAAAATTGACTAAAAATTAGCTCTCTCAACTACAATGTTTGATTTTCATAGAAAAATTCATGTTTCTTTGTCTTTTTATTATAGTCCTGAAGAATATTCTTACATATAATAAAGAATTCCCATTTGATGTTCAGCCTATCCCATTAAGGTATTCATATTTTTCTTCTTCCCTTATTGTCTTCTTTATACCTGCTTTTCAGATACTTCTGTTGTTGCTTTATACATTTTGATATCATTGATAATAATTGATACCAACATTGGGAACAATGTCAACCTCTTAAAATCCTTACCCTCCTGAGGAACTGCTTAGAGGCTTTGCTGATATACTAAGTGTTATAGCTCATTGTTTAAGGGTTTTCTCCTTCTCTCTTTTCCATGTAGACGGATTTTAGCACCTGGTGAAGAAGAGAATTTGGAATTTGAAGAAGATGAAGAAGGTGGTGCTGGAGCAGGACCTCCTGATTCTTTCTCGGCTAGAGTCCCTGGTGAGCATTCTTCCCTGGTACATGCCCTGCTTTATCCTGCAGGACATGTGGAGCTTATTCTCTAGTGAGAGGAAACCCTCTCCAGACCCTTGACAACCAATCATAAGCAAAGTTTCAGGTCACGGGGAAAGCACACTTAGACCCCAAGCCATGTTCCCAACCCAGTCAAGTTTAGTTGGTGAATGGAAGTATTTCTAACATTCAGGTTGCTCTTACAGTAGTTCTGTGTTGTCATTCTCTCTAGTTCCAACTTCTAAGAATAAACCGTTCAGAATGAGGACGAGAGCTGCAAATTAGGCTTTAATAATCTACATAGTAATTGAATCTAGGCATCCTAAACTATAAATTAGTAATATCTGAAAGATTTCCTGGTCTTTGCTCTCAACCCCCCACACCCCTGGTTTTGTTGTGTTTTTTGAGACGGGGTTTCTCCCTGTAGCTCTGGCTGTCCTAGAACTTCGTCTGTAGACAAGACTGGCCTCAAATTTAAGAGATTTGCCTCTCTCTGCCTCCAGAGTACTGGGATTAAAGGCGTGCGCCACTCCTGGCTTTTCTTTTTTTTGGCTTACATGTATGTGCACCATCTTCATGCAGTGCCCTCAGTGGCCAGGAGAGGGCATCAGATACCTTTAGACTGGAGTTGCAGAAGTGAGCTGCCATGTGGGTACTGGAACTTGGCCCAGGTCCTCTGGAAGAGCATCCAGTTACCTTAGTTGCTGAGCCATCTTATCAGCCTCACAAACATCTCAAGCTTAGAATAACAGGATTTTTCCTGTTTTTTTTTTTTTTTCTTACAAGTTCATATTGTACAGAGAAACCCTGTCTCGAAAAAAACAAAAACAAAAAAGTTCATATTGAAATGTAATGTATATCTTTACAAGTGTAGTGAATATATGTTTTATGTGGATGTATTGATTGATTATTGATTTTGTGCTAGCTTAGAATTAGGCTTCCTTAGTAACATGAACATTTAATGAGCTTGCCTTAATAATTCTTCTTTTTTGATGTTTGTGGAGTATGGAGTGCAGATTTATCTTGCATATAATTAAGTATTTATTCACAGAGAATTAATACCAAGCCAGACGTGGGGTACATGCCTATGGTGTCCATACTCAGGAACCTAAAAACATCCTAAAAACCAAAAAGGAATAATACAGTGTTTGCGATTGCTAGAAAGCAAAATGTTAATATCTTCCTGGTTGCTAAGTTACAAGGGAGCCTGTGTCTCTCTTCTGCTTGCTGAAAGTATTTTTGATGCAGTTTTTGATGGCCTGATTGTTACTGTGGTTCCTCTGTTGCCAGGTACTTTATTGCCACGGTTGCCATCAGAACCGGGGATGACGTCACTCACCATCAGGATTGAGAAAATTGGTCTGAAAGACGCTGGGCAGTGCATCGATCCCTACATCACAGTCAGCGTGAAAGGTCAGAGCCCCCGTGTGTGGGTTTCCTTCTGCCAGACACCAGGCTGCATTCCGCTTGAACAGTTATTTGTAGAGCCGTGGCTACTATGTCTGTAGCAACTCACTTTAGTTCATTTTATGATAGGAAGTCCTTGGAATTGATCTCTAGTCCTTCGGTGAATGCTTCTGATAATCTAATAAATATATTTTTAAATGTATAGATTAGACTCACTTTTGCTTTTGAGCTTGTCTTTGTTTCTTGTTATACTTTATACTCCAGACCCATCTAGGGAGCTAGCTAACCATGCACAGTCCTCTTAGCAGCAGAGACAGTATCCAGAATACAGAACTAAGAAAATATCCCTCGTCTTCCTCAGGCGTGTAGGTTGAATAGTCGTTTGATTCCTATAGCAGGTTTCCGTGAGATGAATGCTGCAGTGGAGGGTGAAAATAGAGATCAGGAAGAGGGTCTGTCCATATATCCAGTCCCTGAGAGCCATTGCAGGATAGCAGAGTATGTTATCAGAGTTAGAAAGTGTGATTATTAACAGGGAAACCACATGGCTGAATTCTTTGTTGTTGCCATACATATTACTCAGTGCTTTGTTTTCAAAGCATTTAGTCTTTAAAAATATTTAGTAGATGTCAAGCATGTGGAGCATACCTTGATCCCAGTTTCTAGGCAGCCGAGATACAGGAATTACTTGAGCCAACTTTAGAGAATGCATAAAGAGACCCTGTTTCAAAAAACAATTACTAAGAACATTATTATTGATTCATAAGAGTCAAGTCATCAGTGTTAAGAAGTGACTGCACAGTTAATACAAGTGGTTAATGTGAAGCCACAGTTAAAGCTAACCAGATAACCAGATGTAAGCCGAGATTAAGTGGAGGCTACTTGAGGCACTTGTAGAAATAAACCCAGACCCAGAGGTTTGTTAGTAACAAATTTAGCCACAGAGAAAATTTGAATAAGCAGAGACCACGATTGAGAGAACTGATGATCATACCTTTTAGTCAGTGGTCCTCAATCTTTCTAATGCTGTGACCATTTAATGCAGTTCCTCATGGTGTGCTGATCCCCAACCGTAACCTTATATTTGTTGCTACTTATAACTGTAATTTGCTGCTGTTACAAATTGTAAATATATGATATGCAGGATATCTGATAAGTGATCCTCAGAGAAGACACGACCCACAGGTTGAGAACCACTGCTTTAAGATATAACTAGCTATCAAGTGTGAAAAAGTAATTGTACTATACACATTGTTTGATAGGCCATTTATAGAATGATATAAATCATTCAGGAAGGTGTTTTTGAGTTAAATATGAAATATTGAATGATATATAGTGAATGTTAAATTACCTTTGCATGGATGTTGAATATGATTTTGTGTAAATATCTTTAAGAACTGAAATAATCAGATGGACCTACCAAATTAATATCTTTGTTGAATAATAAATATATAAACACTTACTTGTTAAACCTAATGCAAAATTTGATTAAGAGGAGTTCCCGGGTCCAGGAAATTAAAACCATATCCAGTAACTTAGTATACCGTCTGGTTGTGGTAAAGCAGGCTGTGTTTTAGGAAGCATAACTAGAATGTAGGTACACTGTATACATTCCTTCACTGATGAAACAGATTTTTTGTGTGTTTGGTTTTTTTGTTTTTGCTTGTTTGGTTTGTTTCATTTTGTTTTGTTTTTGGCAGCTCTCATGCCCATCTGACTTGAATACAGCTGAGGAATTCTGACTTAATTCTGGGTTTAAGGCCCTTCCAGCCATGCCCTTCATCATTGTAGCAATGTAGCGGCTGAGGGCTGGCCACATTGTAGCAAAGTATATAAGGCCCAGATTTTTGCTGCACATATGTGTCTTCGGGAAACAGAAAATTCTTTTCCTTCTTAAAGATCAAATTCAATCTCCTGCAGACTTACTTTGCCAACCCTGTGGTCTCCATCCTCTCAGTTCACCTCCCTCCGCACCCATGGACACTACCAGTTCCCAGGCCCTTGCACATACAGGCAAACCTCGGAGTTCCAGGCCAGCCAGGGCTACACAGAGAAACCCTGTCTCAAAAAACACAACAAAACCAAAGAGGAGGTGGGGGTTGAGAGCAGAGACCAGGAAAACTAACTTATAGTTTAGTATTCATAGATTGAGTTATTAGGTAGGGCCCCAGAGTCCCTCCCCTATCCTCCTCTGCAGGATACATGGCCTGTGGTGGTCTGTAAATTTGATTGCCCCTAAGTGAAAACTTGTTTCTCTCTAGATTTGAATGGCATAGATTTAACTCCTGTACAAGATACTCCTGTGGCTTCAAGAAAAGAAGATACTTATGTTTATTTTAATGTGGACATTGAGCTCCAGAAACATGTTGAAAAGTTAACCAAAGGTTTGTGACCATAATCTTTGTCTTCCTATGAACAGCATTTGTTTGAGTGTTTACACAGTGGTCCTATCATAGTCCACATTTGGCAGAAGTCAGTGTCACCTGGTTAGTTGAAGAAATCCAAATAGTAATGTTTTTTTAAATGTTGAAAATGGGTGGTGTGTTACCTGGTTGTATAATGGCACTAGAATATAAGTTCTTTACTATTAAAATGTTAGGCCTGAGAATGGCTCAGTGGGAGAACCTAAGCTAAATCCACTGCACCCATGTAAAAGCCAGCAGTGACAGCCTGCCAGTGCTGGGAGATGACAGATGAGTGGATTCCTGAGGTTTCCTGATCTGGCAGTTTAGCTCCAGGCTCAGAGAGAAACCCTATCTCAAAAAGCAATGTGAAAAACTGATGAAGGAAGATATTGAAGTTCTGTGCGTGCGCATGCATGGCAGCTTTTTTTCATTCTAATGAGTGGGTTAAGCTGGAACTCCTAAGGATGCTGTCTGACTCTTTCCTTCCATTTGCACTGGATAGAAAGATACACAACATGCAGCTCATTGGAGGGAAGATGAAAAAAGAGCTACCATTTAGCACAAATCCTTACAGTAAATATTAGCAGTTGCCATTTGCCCACTGACATCAGTGTTCTCTGCAGAGAATCTGAGGCTCAGCTGCAGTGTCTGAGATGCCAAGCTCTGTAGGAAGTGTGTGTGAAGTGAATGCTTTAGAAGGCATTCCTCCAGCCTCTGTAGTGTGATGCTTTACTTCTTAAAGCTAGAGCTGTAGCAGCAGCCGCCCCCGGACTCTGATAGATGAGCGTGGCGAGCACAGCAGAGTGCTCCTTAATGTCCTCTGAGTCACTGAGTGACTCCAGGACTTGAAGCTCCTTAGAGGAGGATGTGTCAGAGTGTCCCGGTTAATAAGGTACACTTGGAGTGTGCTTGCTTTCTCCCTCTCACTCTGAGGTCCATTTCTGACATGAAGAGAAGACAGTGGTGGTCCTCGCTGTGCTCTCTCTGTCCTGATGCTGATGAACCGTTGAACCATTGTCAGCACTTCACTGTTCCTTTTCTCCAGTTTTGAACTTAATCTTTAGTCACTATACTTCTGACTAATGAACTTTCCTGTTTATAAACCTTTTAGTAGTCTCAGGATTTCCTAATTTTACATTTCTCTTAATTGTGTGGAGTACAGAGATCTGCATACCAAGACATCTTGTTTTCTTATGATGTACATGAGTAAGTAAGAAGGATGGTGACCTGTTTGGACTTAGATGTTCAAGCAGTATTTTCAAGACATGTGACCTGAAAACTCCAGAGTCTCTTTGATACTATTAATAACAGCAGGTGTGTCTGCTATTGGTGTGGAATGAGAAGAGATACTACAACTTTGTGCATCTATAGGGTCTTGTGCTTAGGGAAGTTGGTCCCCAGTAGCCTGACTATTGTCATACTTTTGTGTGAAGGCAAGTACATGGCTGATGTGCCCCTTTCTCCCTTCCTCTCTCTATTTCCCGTGTGTCCTAAGTGACTGGGCCTTTTTGCTTGATTTGTGAGATGTCTGTTTGCACCCAAGTGCCAGGACCATTCGCACATTTTAGAACATAGTTAAACACCAGTTAGACGCTGTATTGTCACTAAAGTAGTTGTCTGTTATAGTTTTTAAAGATAGGATCCAGCATACCCTGGTCAAAGCAGAATTAAGTAGTTAGACATCAACTTGCATTATTTTCCATGCTGTTTTTAGAAATCAGTTTCTGTCTACACTGGTGAGGTGACATATCTCCCTAATTTTAGCTGTTTTTTCCCTTCATGATAGAGAACTTAAGTCTTTGTAGATAAAGACTTAATGCTGTAACTTCCTTATACTTGATTCAATTGGTGCTTGATTATTGTTGCCTTTCTACCTGTCCTTCCATAGCACATCTTGGTGTATGTGTCAGGAGTTGCAGGGGGTAAAATACACCGCTTAGGACTCTGAAGCAGGCGTTAGGTAACTGTTAACTGCATGTGACTCATGTTATTTAGATATCAGGGTTTGTTTTAAGGAGAAAGCAAAACTGCCTAAGCTTGAATGTTTTAAAAGGAACCTTCACTTCCAGTCTGCCCAGTACACGTGCACTTTATCTCTATAGACTGTGTTCCTTTTCTGGGACTTTTTTGTTTTGTTTGAAATTTTTTCTATGTGTGATTTATCTTAGTTTGGGTTTCTATTGCTGCAGGGATACACCATGACAAAAAGAGCAAGCTTAGTGGAAAGGCTTTATTGGGCTTACACTTCCATGTCATTGTTCATCACTGAAGGAAGTCCAGGCAGGAACTCACAGGGCAGGAACCTGGAGGCAGGAGCTGATGCAGAGGCCATGGAGGGTGCTGCTTGCTGACTTGCTTCTCATGGACTGCTCAGCCTGCTTTCTTATAGCACCAGGACCTCCAGTTCAAGGATGGTTCCACCCACAATGGGCTGGCCCTCCCCCCATCAATAACTAATTTTGAAAAATGCACTGTAAGCTTGCTTGCCTTACAGCCCAATCTTATGAGGCATTTCCTTTTTTGAGCTTCCCTTTTCTCAGATGACTTTGTCAAGCGAACAGAAAACTAGCACACCGGTGTACATGAGTTTGTATGTGTGGGGTCACATGTATATGCAGGGACACCTACATTTGTGTGCACAAGTATATGGAGGCCCAAGGCTGGCAGTGGGAGTTTTCTTCAATTACTCCTTCTTATTCATTGAGACACACTTCTCAGCTGAACTCAGAGCTCACTGATACAGCTAGTCTTCCTGACCATTTTTCTTCAGGAATTCTGTCTCTTCCTTCCAAGCTGGAATTGCAGGCAGGCCACTATGGCCAACCTGCCAAAGGGGTTCTGGGGAATCTGGATGCCAGTCCCCACATGTGTATGACAAGTGCTCTAACCATGAGCCATCTTACTGTACTCGGAATTCCTTAGTGATTTAGTCTTGAGTCAGTCTTGCTCAGGAAGGTTTGCTAGACTCTGTAGAATGAGAGACGTGGAGAAATGTTAGTACTGCAGAGACTGTGGTGGTGTCCCTAGCAGCCGATAGTCATACCTCAGCAGACTGTGTTTCACAGGTTACTTTGCAGACTATGCAAACCATTGCTTTTTCATATGCTTCTGATGAGTAAAGAAAGCTAATTGACATAGAAGATGCTGCCTGTGCTTTATGTGTCTTTCAATTTCTTAGGTGCGGCCATTTTCTTTGAATTCAAACATTACAAGCCTAAAAAGAGGTTTACCAGCACCAAGTGTTTTGCCTTCATGGAGATGGATGAAATTAAACCTGGGCCAATCGTAATAGAACTGTAAGTTTTGGGCATAGCAAATGAATGGAACTTGGGAGTCAATCAAGCAGAATATTTTAAACAATAATCTTTCTGTTGTGGTTACAGATACAAGAAACCCACTGACTTTAAAAGAAAGAAATTGCAATTATTGACCAAGAAACCACTGTATCTTCATCTACATCAAAGTTTGCACAAGGAACGACCCTGATACAAATAAGCAAGAACTTGTGTGAATTTTACCACTCAGAAACCATCATAGCTCTGTGTAGCATCATCATCCTTCAACAGACAGGAAATGAGCCCTACCCATGCCAGTTGACCAAGCAAGTCTATTGCACAGCTGGACCCCAGAACAAAAGTTCAGCACGTCACTGACCTATCACTCCTTTGGATACAGGTTTATTGTAGATTTTGAAACATTTTTACTTTTCTATTAATTGTGCAATTGATAGCCTATTCTCTCATTGCCACTACTACCCTGTTTCCCGGACAGTGCTGTTGTGGTAGATGTGCAGAACTTCAGACAATGCAGCAATAAGAATGTGCTAGAGTTTACATCTCTGCTCACGTCTGCTCCAGTGTGCTCTTCTGGTATAAATATCACGCCGTGAGTTGAGGTGGGTAGAACTGCTGAGAGGAATTGGACTAGTTACATTGCCTAGCAGAGACTCCTTAGAAGAGACCTAGCCTGATGCCCTGGGCCCCTGCATAGAAAGTGTGGCCTGGCCAAATGAGAATCCCCATTGAGTGTTCCCCGGATGACCAGATTGATTTCCTGAAGAGAGCACATGTGTAATCAGGTGGATTATCTGTTCTTCTCTAGTGTACTGCTAACTCTTTCTGGTAGATTCTAGGGTTAACCATCTCAGAATAACTATGGATTTTAAAATGTGTTTACAGCATCTGTTAAATGGTATCATTTAGGAACAGCTGAGTCAGATGTTAAGATGCTGCGGGATAACTGCTGCTTTCCTGACCACCCGTTGTGAGACCTTAAGACCGCATACCTCTCCTTAGTATGCAATAATCTGGAAAGACTGTCTATTTTTTTTTTAATATAGGTAGATAAGATTGCCATTTACTTCCTATTTAGATACAGTCATTCATCCATATGAAAATATGCAGGTCATTAGTTTATTTTGAATGGACTATTTACTTTTGGTGTAACGAGGCATAAATAAAACTTTCAAAGCACATGATGGATGGTTGTTACCCAGAACATTAGGATTCATGAGGGGCTGGCTTTCTGTGGGTTAGACGTGCCACATATTTTAATATTCACCTGTCAATGAACAGTGCATGAGGAAGTGGCTGCACTGTCGATACTGGGCCTGTTTTTAACAGTATACCCTCATCACACCATTCAATATATTTGCTTTTTCAAGTAAGTAACCACCACGGAGATGTTTGAAACTTGCCTTTCAAGCAATCTCATCTTGACTTCCAGCACCTACTAGGTCACTGTATACTAGATAGAGCTGAATAAAAACTGTATTTTAGGTTCAACCTAAAATTAATTCAAAATTAATCTTGATTGGATTAATTCCAAATACTAAAATAATTCCATCTATAATAGCTGTAGGGGATGGAGATTTTTGCCTTAAATTAGCTCACTGTCCAACTCGGGCTTGTAGATCTCCAGACTGTAAGCTCCTCGAGGGAAGAGCCACATCTGTCATAGAAGGGTCTAAGGTACTTAGCAGTACTGTGTACCTGGGGAGTACTCAGTACATTTTGTTTGATGTTGCTGACTAGACCTAAAAAATAATTCCTTAAAACCTATTATTATTAAAATGTAGTAAAGTGTACATCATCCATTCTCATTTCTTACAGAACATAGAAGACAAATAGCTTGATTTTCTGTGCTACAGCACTGATAGTTCTCACAGCATGGTCTATATGAACTACAGATGCCTGCTGTCAGGGTTAAAGCACTTTAGTGGAACATCGTGTGATAAGCTCAGCTTTAATTCAGACCTGAATGACAAGATTGTCTTAAAGCAGTTAATACAAGAACACTCCCCATTTCACCAGTTTCCGTTGTACTGAGCAGTAGCCTTGTCTCCAGCAGAGATACTTTCGGGCTGAGGTGCTGCTCCTTCCTAATGAGCTTTAGCCATTCAACCCCAAAACAGCCGGAGGGGACTTGTGAAACAAGAACTTTTGAAATGGAAGAGTTGGATTTAACTGAGGTATGATGATGTCCTCTGTGTCATGTGTAGACGGACAGGCTTTTGTAGCACAGGATGTCTGATCAGATGGGGCTGAGGAAAGGCAGGGAGACTGGCTCAGAAGGGCACAGAAATGCTACAACTGAGGTTTCGCCACATATTTCTAATGATTTCTATGATAAATGACAGGATAACCAAAGGGCTCTAGAGAAGGAATATCCCAATTTTGAATATAAAAGGTTTAATTTACCTTTACTATTTGTCTCTTAGCTTGTATAATTTTTATTTTATATGCCCTCTAAATTTAGGTAATCAAGATAGCTGAGGCAGGAGGATAACAAGTTTGAGCAAGCCTGGACTATATAGGTGAGACCCTATATTTAAAATAAAAAAGGCAAAAATTATAAATTATATTTTCACTATTTTGTGTCCTGAGGGGCTTAACAGATACTTTCAAGAAGTTGTATTTGCAATTTAATATTATTTTTATATGGTTAAAAATGGCATGTGTTAGGGGCCAAAGAGATGGTTCAGGGGTTAAAAGCACTTTCTGTTCTTGCAGAGAACCAGAGTTCAGTTCCCAGCACCTACATGATGGCTCACAACTGCCTGTAACTCCAGTTATAGGGATCTAGTGCCCTCTTCTGCCCTGTGGGTACCAGCCATAACACATGCTGCACATACATACATTCAAGCATGCAAGCAAAACACATGCATAGAATAGAAAATAAAGTTTTGAATTATATACACTATCCTGTGCATTTTCTTATAGATATAAAATCTTTGTAATTCTGGATTGGGGTCAGGCAGGTTGAACTCTTACTGGAGGACTTACAGGCTCCCTTGGAACTCCTGCATTGAGAGAACCTGTCTATGTCTTCAATCATTGAAGATTTGATTTCACATTGAAGCTTTTGCTCATTTTTTCAAAATCTCCAGTGGATTTATCTTCCCAGCAGTGGCATGATATGCCCTAGGTTTCAATCATTACTTCACAGGACTTTAGAGAGTGGAGTGTCACAGTGAGCGGTTTTCACTTTTTATAGCTTTGATTACTGCAGCCTATATGTAACATGCTGCTAAAGGTACTGTATAGTCTGAACTAGTTGTTTTAAAGACAGTGTAAAAGGGTGTAAACTTTATGACACAATACCATATTCCTAAATTTACCTGATTTATAAAGAAGCAGTAATGCTTGAATACTAATTTCTGAATAGTATCTGTTAAAGAATTGAGCCAGACATAGTAAGTCAAGCCTGAAATGCCAGCCTCTAAGAAAGCTGAGACATGTTGCAGGGCCATGTTGGGTACATAATGAGATCTTTGCTCAAAACAGCCATGTAACTGAGCCCATAGTTGTAGACTGAGGATGTACATTGGTTTTCGGATCTTTCTGCCTCATGGCAGCTTCCTGATTCTTTGCCATACTCCTTGAAAATCAGCTGCTAGGTGATATGAGAGAAAACAGAATATACATTTCTAAAAAGAAATGTTTATCTTGTTAGCCACCCGTAGTGAAAGAATGGTTTTAAAAGCAACAAAATGCCAGGTCAAACAATTTTTTAATGTCAGTTTTTTTTCCCCTACATGTGCCACGACATGTGTGTATATGTAGGTCAGAGGACAACTTGTGGGAAATGGTTCTCTTCACTAAGTGGGTTCAAGGGATTAAACTCAAGCTGTCAGGCTTGGCAGTAAGTGTTGTTACCTGCTGAGCCATCTTACTGGCCCAAAGAATTTTTTTTCTCAGTTTTTGATACAGGCTCTATGTAGCCTTGGCTGTCCTGGAACTCAGATATCTGCCTACCTTTGCCTCCCAAGTGCTGGGATTAAAGGTGTGAGCCACCACACCCAGCTCCAAATAATTCTTATAGGAGTATAAATTCAGACTCAGAAAATCCTTCTCGGGCAGTGAGCACCAAGAAAGGGCAGAGAGGTAGCTAGCACCAGTGGGGCCTCTGGCTTACTTGAAAGAAGAGGAAATTCCTTTTAGAGCTCACTGACGACATTGAAGGAGAACTTAACATTGTTGCATGGAATATACACAGCCCACCACTGCAGTTCCAGAAGTACAGTTGTCAGGTTTCCCAAATGATGCATGTCTCATAGCAACCCAAAGAATCAGCAGACACTGGGAAATATTAATAAACCATGTTTATGAACTATTACTACAAAGAACTTTAGCAACGGGACAGTTTATGATCCTTGAGTAAACTCTTTTTTTAGCGTAACAGTCTTTGAGACACAAATGGAGTTGTAAACACCTTGCTCTGAATCAGCTGGCATACACTAAACCAAGGCCATGGAAATACATGTTCTTAAAGCATTTCCACAGGAAATGTTCATACTTTATGATATTCTAAATCATTTAGCAATCATTACATATGCTACATGAACTAAACACAGGTATTCTTTATTGCACATTTCAAAGTTGGGAGAATGTTCTAGCTTAAGAGGTGATTTTTACTTAGAAGGGAACATTATAATATATTTTTGTTTGGCTCAAAAATGCAATCTGCCAAAGGCAGCTTAGTACTAAAAACAATCTTTGTAAAACAAACTTAGGTTTTGATGCCAATGAAATCCTTTGCTGTAATGAATAATGCACTGTCCACTTCCTCTCTGACTCAGTGACAGAGATCAAAGTCAAGGGGTGGGTTTTGAAGCCTGTGAGCGGTCCTGGACACTGCTGGGAGAGGCAGGTTGAGCGTCCTCTCTCGGGCCTGAAGGCAGTGAGTCTCTTAGAGCAGGTGGTGGTGGCGGGTAGTCCTGAGGACCGTGGGTTGGAGGTGGTAATCGGGTACCAGGAATAAAGAACTCTCTGGGACCAAGTGAACCTGGAGGTCTAAATGGTGTGTGTCCTGGTACAAATTCCCGAGGATCGACAGGCAGGTCCCGTTTCCCAGGCAGAACGCCTGGTGCGTATTCTCTTATGCCTAGTGGTGGACGCATGACTGGAACTAGAAAACAAGTCATATAAATAAATACCAAGTAACATTTAAATGAGCAATCATTCCAAGTACAGAAACATGTGTATTAATTTCTCAACCCTATAAAATCAAGTGTGGCACCCTGACTATACTTAAGGGAAATAAGGCTTAGCAAATTAAATTATAGCCTATGGCCACTAAGCAAAGGTCAGGTTTAAACAGCTCTGCTTAATCCCAAGTTTTCTTTTCACTCTGTAGCTCTGCATCTCAGAATAGCTCACTCAGAATAACAGCCATGCCAAGAGGATAGTTGTGAGACACCATTTCATTGCAACAAAGTGAAGTGAAATGTTACTGTCACTTGTCAACTGAATGTTCATGTGCCAGAAGTCAAGATGAACTCAAATTGATCTTCACTCACTAGGTTTGTATTGTTATCTGTAACACCTCTTTTCTATCTAGTCCCACTGAGAATGGAATTTTACCTCTCCCATCTCTATTCTGTGACCAGTGGCTTATGCTTCTGTTACAGATGATGACAAGGTCATCCACCTTTTCTACGTCATATGTAGCCACTGTTGTTCAAATGCACGTGCAGACAGAACACTGCCGCTGGCTTTCCTAAATGACCCCTTTCCTTGTCTAGCCATACCCAACTCAGTTTAGGGAGATCAGATAATTAGTACCTATATGTGCTTAGAAAGCTGGGGATAGGTTACAGTGTGTACTCTCAGCTTCCGCCTTAGTTGGAAAACTATGATACCAACTACTTTAGCAAGGAACAGAACAGATGAATATGTTTTACAAGTAAGTTAATACTGTCTAAATCATCATACCAAATGGTGGAGGAAGTGGGCGAGGCCCAAAAGGCCCACATAGCTGAGGGGGTGGTCCGTATCGTATGGGTGGTGGCACTGGGCCTCCCAGGAGAGGCACCCCTGGAAATGGAGGCGGCCCTTTGGGAGCCATGTTAACCTGCAGGAAAGAAGCAATTAAAGTTTGGAAATGCTTTAACATGACAAAAGTGCCAAGACTCGTAAACTGGCACCTGTCCAAAGAACAGTCAGTGTAACACCACCTCACCCCATGTTTCCAGTGACAACCCAGAGGTTAGAAAGATGCTGCAAGCAGTGACTAGGGTCATGCCACACACGCTGCAATCTGTATCAAAAAGAGGCTTTCAAGTCTCATGACTGTAACTGTAGATGTATATATTAAGAATACAGGGAACATTGGGATATACTGCATGTAAAGAAACGAGAAGATACGCAGTTATAACTAAAATTAAAAAATACAGATAACAGATTGAAAACGGTATCTACACAAACAGTGACAGTAACCATTTCAGGGTTCAGTGGGGCCTTTGCTATCATTATTATTATTATTAACATTATTCAAATGTTCATATCTTCTAATCTGTGTATCTTGCTTAAAACACTGAGCAAGCAAAGGCAAGAAGAGTTGAACTGATTTACTGAAAGATGGCAAGCTGGAATTCAAATCCCAGGCTCCACTCCAAGGCTGTGCCTGCCCCCTCCCATCTGTAATTTAAAGGCATTTCGGGCTCATCCAGATTGGCTGTGGATGAAAAGACTTCTCAAGAGGTGCACGTCCCTGGAATCCTGCACTGGCACTGAATCCAGCACAGTGTTATGTACATTATTAGGAAGCCAAAGCTCCAGTGACGACCTTCCCTGGTGAGCAACGCTGTGCACTACAGAACAAGAATCCCTTACTGTGTTAATGTAGTGCAGCAGGCCAGCAACTGGACTAGCCACACATGTCTCAGAACACACACTTCTGTGGACAGTCAACAGTATGAACAGTGCTCAGGACTCATTTCTGTTTGTAAACAGTATGATTTCATATCATTCAAAACACTTTTCCAGGTACACAAAGACAGGGGTAGCATAGTTCTAGGCAGATAATGAAAACAAATCATGTGATTTACTATGAGTTATTTCACTCAGAGCTTTCAGCACAAAGCACACAGCATAGGTTGTAGTGATGATTTTTCATTATGTAGTAATAGTTACAGCAAGTGCTCTAACCTGGTCAGTAATTTAATACAACAGGAATTTAATACAACAGGAAAAAGGATACCAACAACCAACCACTGACTCAGTGACACTCCAAAGTCACTGGAGCGATGCTGCCTCTCAAAGACAGTGAACAAGGTGAGTAGCATGCATTTATAAACTCTACAGGCAAAACCAAGCAACACCAGAGGCCACTCCAGCCCTCCATCTCTAAACACTTACTGCTACTGGATACTCAGCTAAAGGGGCAATGCTGGAAACTGAGGGGCCTTCGGGCTCTTGGGGAACAGTTTGCTTTAAAGAAACAAAGTCATAAACAAGAGATGAGGACGAGACCAATAGGAAATACTCATCTGCCTGTATGCCTGAGAGCTTACCTTGCCCTCGTCCACGGCCTTAGCGGGAGAAGAGCTCCTGGAGCTGCTGTTCACCACAGGAGCTGGACCTGGGTCTGTGAGAGGCCAGAGAACTGACTTAGACTCACCCTGACTGGTACACTTTGAGAAGAATCAAAGCCCCACATGTATGAGACTTGGAAATTACTTAGGCCCCTTACCAGAAGTAGAGTGTTTCCCAGATGCCTCTGATGGCCATCGAGGGCGAGGTAAATGCCTGTCCAATGACCCTACAGAAAGAAACAACAGAGACATTGACATGTTGTTTTCAGAGGGATAAACCTGTTGTGAACAGGGCTCAACTTTTAACTAGAAATCAGCAGTACAGCCTTTAGGTTAGATAGCATATGCCTGCAATCCCAAAGAGGGATCTCAATATACAAGTCACAGTTTATAAAAAGACTTCAAGTAGTAAAAAAGAATTGCCTCCATTTTTGTAAATTTATTTTTAAATTCTTTTATTTTATATGGATAGTTATTCTGCCTGCACATATGCGTATGGTTCACATGTGTGCAGTACCCATGGAGGCCAGAGAGCGTGTTAGATCTCCTGGGACTGGAGTTGCAGGTGGCTGTGAGCTGCCACATGGGTGCAGACAGAGAACTGAACTCAGGTCCTCTGCATGAGGAGCAAGTGCTGCTAACCACCAGGCCACCCCTCCAGCTCTAGGAGTTATCCTAGTTTTAAAGACGAGCACCAAACTTCATATTAAGAATATCGGTGCTTCAAGCTAGAGATTTAATAGCACTGTACTGGCAGCATTTTTCTAGTCTAACTTTTAATCTTTCTAAGCATCAGACAGAATTGACATTTCATATTCACAGTTAAACTTTAAAGAATATATTACTCTTTAAAAGCAATGCAGGGGCCTCTGGCAGAATATAAATCTTTCTGTCCTACAGAAGAGCTTATAGTGACCCATCTCTGTATGAGGACAGACTAAGACATATTTTCTGACAGACCTAAATTCTAAATACACACTTGATGTACTGTAGTGCAAAGGAGTACGTCAGTGCTCACCAAATTCACTTCTAGGAGTGTCTCTTCGACTGAGTGTGGCAGAGAGAGGTCTCCCAGGTGGCTCTGCTGGTAGGGGAGGGGAACATTCTCCACCACTCACGGGGGATGGGCCAAAAGAGCCATTCTGGCTCAGTAGACCTGAAGACAGCAATGCCTCGTTACCACTCTATGACAGCCCCTTCCCTCCAGTAAGCTCAGGAGTCTTTCTAGGGCATCAGACCTAACACAGAAGTAAAATTTAATTCACACACACTCCACGCCAGAATCCTGCTGCCATGTACAGACGGAGTGCTCCCTACCTCGACGGGGAGGGTTTTGTGTGTTCGGTCTTCCAGGCATTGGTTTTACAATCACAGGTTCATCTTGCCTCATTGCCATCTTTTGAGTCATTTCCAGTAATCTTGAATATTGAGAAACAATGGACTTGAAATAGCAATCTATTCCTTACTAGATACCACCTAGCACTCCAGCACTGCAAAAGCACTGAAAATCAGGCATCAAAATTCCGTACTTGTGCCTTAAGTTAGCAGCTTCTCTCTTCTCCTCTGCCATGGCTCTCTCTGCAGCACGAGCTTTGAGCTATTGAAGATATTGAAGAAAAGGGTATTGTGATTCAGATGTGATAGGCTGTGTACAAAATAAAAAAAGGAAAAAAAATCCTTACCCAGTTATCATGAGCTTTCTTCTCATGAGCAGCAATCTGAAAAGATAACACAACAAATACACGTTCACTGTCTTCATAATGCCCATTTTAACACATTAGCTATCCAAAAGAAAGAAAGAAAGAAAGAAAGAAAGAAAGAAAGAAAGAAAGAAA